GTTCTTTCATATTACTATAAATAATCTGTCCTGCCAAGACAAAATAACTGTAGTAAGAAGAACAATGTGGGCATTCTTTGACTTCTGTTGAGTAGTACATACTGATGGAAAGAAATAATGCAACAATAACAAATAACAACCTACCTGCTGCCTTCCTTACAGATGTGTTAAATACCTACAGAGAAAGACACAAGTGAGTGAGTGAGTTTGTCACTGTACACTGCCACAGCTTCTCATGTCATGTTTAGGAAACTACTGAAAGATCCAACATCTGCTCCCTATGTGTTCCCTTACTTCTTTCCATCAGTATAGTTCCCTGCGACAGCCATGTGTAAGTTGAGATCTAACCCAGTGCTATTTCTGGCTGTCTCACAGTCAAGCCAGCGACGCCAGGTAAATGTCGTCCCTCCATCCCTGTCTCTGTGTCTCTAGAACCTGACGCCAGCTGTGATCAGCCTCGCCTTGCCTGAATGTGGACTTCATTTCTAGTCTGTGTATAACATTGTAGTCTCCTCTTCTCTTTGTATGACATTATGTCCTCTCATCAGTGTATAACACTGTATTCTCCTCTTCTCTTTGTATGACATCATATTCTCCTCTTGTCTGTGTATGACATGTTCTCCTCTTGTCTGTGTGTGACATGTTCTCCTCTTTTCTGTGTATGACATCATATTCTCCTCTTGTCTGTGCATGACATATTCTCCTCGTCTGTGTATGACATCATATTCTCTTGTCTGTGTATGACATCATATTCTCCTCTTGTCTGTATGACATGTTCTCCTCTTGTCTGTGCATGACATCATATTCTCCTCTTGTCTGTGTATGACATCATATTCTCCTCTTGTCTGTGTATGACATCATATTCTCCTCTTGTCTGTATGACATGTTCTCCTCTTGTCTGTGTATGACATCATATTCTCTTCTTGTCTGTGCATGACATCATATTCTCCCCTTGTCTGTGTATGACAGGTTCTCCTCTTGTCTGTGTATGACATCATATTCTCCTCTTGTCTGTGTATGACATCATATTCTCCTCTTGTCTGTGCATGGCATCATTCTCCTCTTGTCTGTGTATGACATGTTCTCCTCTTGTCTGTGTATGACATGTTCTCCTCTTGTCTGTGTATGAAATGTTCTCCTCTTGTCTGTGTATGACATGTTCTCCTCTTGTCTGTGTATGACATGTTCTCCTCTTGTCTGTGTATGACATGTTCTCCTCTTGTCTGTGTATCACATCATATTCTCTTCTTGTCTGTGCATGGCATCAAATTCTCCTCTTGTCTGTGTATGACAGGTTCTCCTCTTGTCTGTGTATGACATCATATTCTCCTCTTGTCTGTGTATGACATCATATTCTCCTCTTGTCTGTGCATGGCATCATTCTCCTCTTGTCTGTGTATGACATGTTCTCCTCTTGTCTGTGTATGACATGTTCTCCTCTTGTCTGTGTATGACATGTTCTCCTCTTGTCTGTGTATGAAATGTTCTCCTCTTGTCTGTGTATGACATGTTCTTCTCTTGTCTGTGTGTGACATGTTCTCCTCTTGTCTGTGTATGACATGTTCTCCTCTTGTATGACATGTTCTCCTCTAGACTCTGTATAACATCTTGTTTTTCTTTCATCTGTTCTTAATCTATATTTTCCCTATATTTTGCATGTATGCATGCATGGGTTAATCTAAACATCGGATTATCCCCAGCTTCTGAGCTGAACTTCATTCTGATCAACATTCTCCGTGCTACAGGGAGCACGGGCAGAGTTGTGTCTCTTGGGCTCACCAGGAGCCTAGGATCATGGATTCGAATCTCGGTTGGCCTCAATTATGTTTCAAGGTCTGTCAGCAATAGTGGTTGTGGGTTTCATCAAAGATGTAAAAGTCTGAGAGCTGCATGCATCACTTTGGATCCTCCCACAGTTAGCTGACACACCGAGATATAACTGGAACACTGTTCAAAGCGGTGTTGAACCCAACTCACTCATTCACTCAGTGCTATAACTGACATTTACCTGTGTTGAAGGATGGGTGTTATGACAGTCACAGCGGGGGGGGGGGGGGGCGGCTGAGGGACAATTAGCTGTGTGTTTGCAGGCCTGTAGGTCGTAATACTGATTTATGTTAAATGTTGCCAAGTGGAGAAAATATGGTAGGTATTAAAATGTGGCTGGTTGCCATAGTTTTATAATTCATGAATCTTACTCTGCATTTATTAGATTGACTTTTCTGTACTAAAACTTTGTTTTGATAATGCTTGAAACAGTCGTGGCTTGAGTGTCTGTGGCCATCAGCATGCTTTAGACATGGAATCTTACATTGACTAAAATAGACATATCTCTTTCCTTGTTCTGAGAAGATAGCCATTACCATCAGCTGAAGATCTATTTAGTCTGGATGTCCAATTTCCTTGCAGACTTATGTTACAAGTCATGACTCCTAAGTTGTATCAGTTGACATGGATGCTTGCACGATTGTGTTAGATGACCAAACTTTTGCATGTTTTACATTCTGTATAGAACAATAACAGTGGCATTTATTTGCAATAATGGTATACTTATTAGAAGATGATTCTAAGAACAGTTTTATATCAAAACAAAAATTGTTTGCAGGAAAATGATATCTTTGTGATGATTTTAAGAACAATGTATTACGTGCCATGTATTTGTCAGTAGCTTTGATAAAGCTGGGCCAAACAAGATGAAATAGGGTTGATGTTATAACGCAGTTTGTCTGTCTGTCAGGACATGCAGATAGCATGGTAATCAAGCTGGCACAGTGCTACGTACATTATTTATCCCATGGTGGTGATCAGCTGTAAAACAGATATACAATATTGCTTAGTCACCATATATTGCTTGATACCGCATTGCATGACTTCTGAAATATTGACACTTTTATTTAAGCTTGGATGAAGAATTTACTTTGTAATCAAGACAAATGAAAGTTAGTTGAGATGATGTTGACTTTGTTTGGAAGCTGGCACATGTCAGTGAGTGACCTGACTGCTGGACCTGCTTCAGCCAGTTGGGATGATGTTGACTTTGTTTGGAAGCTGGCACATGTCAGTGAGTGATGTGACTGCTGGACCTGCTTCAGCCAGTTGGGATGCAGTGTGGGATGAAGGAGAAACAAGGGACATCAGCCTCATAAGAATGTACTGTTAGAGATAGACAGAATTTGTCTCCCACAATATCATTAAAATCAGATCTTAGTTCTTGCTACCTCTAAACAAAGATCTGAGGACATCCCATTACAGGTCACGTCAGACCGACCTTGCGCGAATTTTGACCGACCAATGGAATGACCAATCAGAAGGCAGCTTTCTCGTGCTTTACGGCACTAATTTCAAATTGGTGACTACGCTTCGCAATATATTTTGACAAATTCTCGATTACAAATTTGAAACCTAAACCAAAGAACATTCTGGAATGGCTAAGAGATGGTCTAGATTGTGTGGATTCAGTCGTTAAACACGTAACTATCATTCGGAATACCACATGTAAAGGTTTTCGAGGTTGTATGATTAGAAATCACATTCCGACTGTCACTTTCATGATCTGGTAAGCGACGCTCTGATTGGTCGGATGAAAGGTCATTGTGCTGCTGCTTTGCTGGGCCACAAGTGACCTTCAGGGTGTTTCTGAGCGAACCAAAGTAATTTCCAACCTCAGCCTCAGCTTGGATTTGTAGTCAAAGATGTTTCATTAAGTGACTTTTTGAATTTCTGACATTTCATCTAAAACTGACAATGAAACTGAAAGATTTAATGCATGACCTTCACAATGTCATTAATATTTGAAGCAAGTTAAAACAAGGTCACTGTGTTGTTCTTGTGTTGAAAACAGTTCCTCCATCATTTAGCCATTTCAGAAAACTTGGGGGTCGGTGACTTGATTCACACTGCATGTGTTTCACTGTCTGTTAAAGTAAATTGTTTTGAGATTGTTCCTGAAGCACTGAACCCAATCTCAGGCAGTGGGGTAGCCCAGTGGGTACAGCGTTCGCTCATCACACACAGGTTCAAGATTGATTCCCCACATGGGTACAGTGTGTGAAGCTCATTTCTGGTGACCCCTGCCGTGATACTGCTGGAATATTGCTAAAAGCGGCATAAAACCATCCACACTTACCATTTTGTTGCTGGAATATTGCTAATATAAAACAACATAAAATAGCAACATAAAACCATCCTCACTCACTTAAACCAAAACCATTTCTTTGTTGTTGTGAAATGTCTTGCAACATATCCCTGGGTACCATGGTCCCTGAGGATCACCGAAATGATCACTGAAAAACTTATGTAATATTTTATCAATTTTAATTCAAAAACTTACCTCTGAAATTGCAAAAATATAGAGTCAAGAGAGCTGCGGAGCCTTACAGCTATTTCTTAAACTTCCTCTATTGAAGAACTCTGCTGTTTAGTATGTTCTAAGATTGATTTCAAATAAGAATTATAGCGTATTAAAAGTTTGAAAACTTTAAATGAACTTAAAGTTATACTAGGAGATGCACTTTATATTTGGACAGAGGAGCTAAATTGTTATGGTGAAATGAACTTTTATGAGAGTCCAGATATCCTGCTCAGGCTATAATAATGCCATGGACAAGCCCAGAGAATTGTTGCCATGCATATCTAGTACTTAACACTGTTCACTCTTGGGTTAGTACAACATGGCCGCTGACTAATGGCGACATGGCCAGGCTGAAGAATGAGATACCTGACCTCGTCTGGGGATCTGTTCCCTTTTATGGGAGGTGGAGAGATCACGAGGTCGGCATATTGTCGAGGCCAGTCCTAGTAATGGCCAGCATGGGGTGAAAGCAAAACAGCGTAAGGTATTTGATGCTTCTAAATTCAAATCAGGTAATCAGAACTAAATCAATTTCTGTCAGACAGTTCTATAGATTTTGGCTGCAGGTCTGTGCTTTGCTAATTCCAAGAGAAATTTTATCATTGACGTTGAATTAGATTTGAATTTATTTTGTTTTTGTGTTTTTCAGACAATGCTGGGGAGAAGGCGGAGAGGGTGGAGGAAAATCAGTTTCTGGACGAAATGCCGGAAAACTACCATTACCAACGGCGCCATAGCCGAGCGGTGCTGTATCACCTCTCCGGACAGTTCGAGAAACAGAACAAGGCCAAGACTAAACTACAGCAGCTTAATAGGGTGGGCACCACGAAAATGGTACATTTCTATTTTAAGATCAACTCTTACAATTGTTTCTAGAGCTTAGCCTGCCCTGCACAAGTAAGTAACTGCTAAACTGGTCAACTGTTTACAATTATGTCAAAAAGATTCAATTCAGATTAAATATATTTTGATTTGAAATTGAGAGAACTTAAGTAAGATTACAAGACTGTGGATTTCAGCAATCACTCTGATTCTGATGTACGTTCTGTGATCATTTCCTTGATTAATGCAACAATTAAGATGACAGAAATTGGTATCAGTGTGTATGTATGGAAGGTAATTCTTCTAAACTTGAAACTCTTACTCAACTCAAAACTGATTGAATCCAATGTGAAACAGTAACGTTTACCGCAGATGTTGACTGTTGACCAGTTTCGTGCTGACACAACTGTTTGGTTAATTCAGTAACAGCATGCTTCACAAAACATTCATTTTCAAATTTCACATGCTATGCATAATCAAATATTTGTAATTTTTTAATAACTTAATAAAAGTATCTGATTTCAATTATTAATTAGCAATAGATGTTTTAGTACTTTTCTTATATAGCTGAATTATATTATTTCATATATAGCCTTTAGTTGTTGAGATTATTCACTGTAGACATTGTATTTTGAAAACACGAATGTTTACCATTGACTGTTTGAAGAATGAGCATGTGTGGTTATTGGGCTGGTGTGTGACCTCTGTGTGCGGGAATGTGTGTGCTACCTGCTGCTGCTGTCTGTCACAATGCATATACTAATACCCGCGCCTTAGCGATATACTAATACCTGAGCCTTAGCGCCACGACAGTCCCAACTCCCATACTCTAATATAGACTTACGACAGTCTCAACTCCTGTACCCTAACATAGACTTACGACAGTCTCAACTCCTGTACCCTAACATAGACTTATGACAGTCCCAACTCCCATACTCTAACATAGGTTTACAACAGTCTCAACTCCTGTATTTGCACATAAGTTTATACATAGACTTACAGCAATCTCCATCCCGTACTCTAGCTCACATAGACTTACGACAGACCTAACTCCCGTAGCCTAACATAGACTTACGACAGTCTCCATCCCGTACTCTAGCTCACATAGACTTACGACAGTCTCAACTCCTGTATCCTAACATAGACTTACAACAGTCTCCATCCCGTACTCTAGCTCACATAGACTTACGACAGTCTCAACTCCTGTATCCTAACATAGACTTACGACAGTCTCCATCCCGTACTCTAGCTCACATAGACTTACGACAGACTTAACTCCTGTATCCTAACATAGACTTACGACAGTCTCCATCCCGTACTCTAGCTCACATAGACTTACGACAGTCTCAACTCCTGTATCCTAACATAGACTTACGACAGTCTCCATCCCGTACTCTAGCTCACATAGACTTATGACAGTCTCAACTCCCATACCCTTACATAGACTTACGACAGTCTCCATCCCGTACTCTAGCTCACATAGACTTACGACAGTCTCAACTCCTGTATCAACTCCTGTATCCTAACATAGACTTACGACAGTCTCCATCCCGTACTCTAGCTCACATAGACTTACGACAGTCTCAACTCCTGTATCCTAACATAGACTTACGACAGTCTCCATCCCGTACTCTAGCTCACATAGACTTATGACAGTCTCAACTCCTGTACCCTTACATAGACTTACGACAGTCTCCATCCCGTACTCTAGCTCACATAGACTTACGACAGTCTCAACTCCTGTATCCTAACATAGACTTACGACAGTCTCCATCCCGTACTCTAGCTCACATAGACTTACGACAGTCTCAACTCCTGTATCCTAACATAGACTTACGACAGTCTCCATCCCGTACTCTAGCTCACATAGACTTATGACAGTCTCAACTCCTGTATCAACTCCTGTATCCTAACATAGACTTACGACAGTCTCCATCCCGTACTCTAGCTCACAGAGACTTATGACAGTCTCAACTCCTGTACCCTTACATAGACTTACGACAGTCTCCATCCCGTACTCTAGCTCACATAGACTTACGACAGTCTCAACTCCTGTATCCTAACATAGACTTACGACAGTCTCCATCCCGTACTCTAGCTCACATAGACTTACGACAGTCTCAACTCCTGTATCCTAACATAGACTTACGACAGTCTCCATCCCGTACTCTAGCTCACATAGACTTACGACAGTCTCAACTCCTGTATCCTAACATAGACTTACGACAGTCTCCATCCCGTACTCTAGCTCACATAGACTTACGACAGTCTCAACTCCTGTATCCTAACATAGACTTACGACAGTCTCCATCCCGTACTCTAGCTCACATAGACTTATGACAGTCTCAACTCCCATACCCTTACATAGACTTACGACAGTCTCCATCCTGTACTCTAGCTCACATAGACTTACGACAGTCTCAACTCCTGTATCAACTCCTGTATCCTAACATAGACTTACGACAGTCTCCATCCCGTACTCTAGCTCACATAGACTTACGACAGTCTCAACTCCTGTATCCTAACATAGACTTACGACAGTCTCCATCCCGTACTCTAGCTCACATAGACTTATGACAGTCTCAACTCCTGTACCCTTACATAGACTTACGACAGTCTCCATCCCGTACTCTAGCTCACATAGACTTACGACAGTCTCAACTCCTGTATCCTAACATAGACTTACGACAGTCTCCATCCCGTACTCTAGCTCACATAGACTTACGACAGTCTCAACTCCTGTATCCTAACATAGACTTACGACAGTCTCCATCCCGTACTCTAGCTCACATAGACTTATGACAGTCTCAACTCCTGTACCCTTACATAGACTTACGACAGTCTCCATCCCGTACTCTAGCTCACATAGACTTACGACAGTCTCAACTCCTGTATCCTAACATAGACTTACGACAGTCTCCATCCCGTACTCTAGCTCACATAGACTTACGACAGTCTCAACTCCTGTATCCTAACATAGACTTACGACAGTCTCCATCCCGTACTCTAGCTCACATAGACTTATGACAGTCTCAACTCCCATACCCTTACATAGACTTACGACAATCTCCATCCCGTACTCTAGCTCACATAGACTTACGACAGTCTCAACTCCTGTATCCTAACATAGACTTACGACAGTCTCCATCCCGTACTCTAGCTCACATAGACTTACGACAGTCTCAACTCCCGTACCCTTACATAGACTTACGACAGTCTCCATCCCGTACTCTAGCTCACATAGACTTACGACAGTCTCAACTCCTGTATCCTAACATAGACTTACGACAGTCTCCATCCCGTACTCTAGCTCACATAGACTTACGACAGACTTAACTCCCGTACCCTTACATAGACTTACGACAGTCTCCATCCCGTACTCTAGCTCACATAGACTTACGACAGTCTCAACTCCTGTATCCTAACATAGACTTACGACAGTCTCCATCCCGTACTCTAGCTCACATAGACTTATGACAGTCTCAACTCCCATTACCTTACATAGACTTACGACAGTCTCCATCCCGTACTCTAGCACACATAGACTTACGACAGTCTCAACTCCTGTATCCTAACATAGACTTACGACAGTCTCCATCCCGTACTCTAGCTCACATAGACTTACGACAGTCTCAACTCCTGTATCCTAACATAGACTTACGACAGTCTCCATCCCGTACTCTAGCTCACATAGACTTATGACAGTCTCAACTCCTGTACCCTAACATAGACTTACGACAGTCTCCATCCCGTACTCTAGCTCACATAGACTTATGACAGTCTCAACTCCCATACCCTTACATAGACTTGCAACAGTCTCCATCCCGTACTCTAGCTCACATAGACTTACGACAGTCTCAACTCCTGTATCCTAACATAGACTTACGACAGTCTCCATCCCGTACTCTAGCTCACATAGACTTACGACAGTCTCAACTCCTGTATCCTAACATAGACTTACGACAGTCTCCATCCCGTACTCTAGCTCACATAGACTTACGACAGACTTAACTCCCGTACCCTTACATAGACTTACGACAGTCTCCATCCCGTACTCTAGCTCACATAGACTTACGACAGTCTCAACTCCAGTATCCTAACATAGACTTACGACAGTCTCCATCCCGTACTCTAGCTCACATAGACTTACGACAGACTTAACTCCCGTACCCTTACATAGACTTACGACAGTCTCCATCCCGTACTCTAGCTCGCATAGACTTACGACAGTCTCAACTCCTGTATCCTAACATAGACTTACGACAGTCTCCATCCCGTACTCTAGCTCACATAGACTTACGACAGTCTCAACTCCTGTATCCTAACATAGACTTACGACAGTCTCCATCCCGTACTCTAGCTCACATAGACTTACGACAGTCTCAACTCCTGTATCCTAACATAGACTTACGACAGTCTCCATCCCGTACTCTAGCTCACATAGACTTACGACAGACTTAACTCCCGTACCCTTACATAGACTTACGACAGTCTCCATCCCGTACTCTAGCTCACATAGACATATGACAGTCTCAACTCCTGTACCCTTACATAGACTTACGACAGTCTCCATCCCGTACTCTAGCTCACATAGACTTACGACAGTCTCAACTCCTGTATCCTAACATAGACTTACGACAGTCTCCATCCCGTACTCTAGCTCACATAGACTTACGACAGTCTCAACTCCTGTATCCTAACATAGACTTACGACAGTCTCCATCCCGTACTCTAGCTCACATAGACTTACGACAATCTCCATCCCGTACTCTAGCTCACATAGACTTACGACAGACTTAACTCCCGTACCCTTACATAGACTTACGACAGTCTCCATCCCGTACTCTAGCTCACATAGACTTACGACAGTCTCAACTCCTGTATCCTAACATAGACTTACGACAGTCTCCATCCCGTACTCTAGCTCACATAGACTTATGACAGTCTCAACTCCTGTATCCTAACATAGACTTACGACAGTCTCCATCCCGTACTCTAGCTCACATAGACTTACGACAGTCTCAACTCCTGTATCCTAACATAGACTTACGACAGTCTCCATCCCGTACTCTAGCTCACATAGACTTATGACAGTCTCAACTCCTGTATCCTAACATAGACTTACGACAGTCTCCATCCCGTACTCTAGCTCACATAGACTTACGACAGTCTCAACTCCTGTATCCTAACATAGACTTACGACAGTCTCCATCCCGTACTCTAGCTCACATAGACTTACGACAGTCTCAACTCCTGTATCCTAACATAGACTTACGACAGTCTCCATCCCGTACTCTAGCTCACATAGACTTACGACAGACTTAACTCCCGTACCCTTACATAGACTTACGACAGTCTCCATCCCGTACTCTAGCTCACATAGACTTATGACAGTCTCAACTCCCATACCCTTACATAGACTTACAACAGTCTCCATCCCGTACTCTAGCTCACATAGACTTACGACAGTCTCAACTCCTGTATCCTAACATAGACTTACGACAGTCTCCATCCCGTACTCTAGCTCACATAGACTTACGACAGTCTCAACTCCTGTATCCTAACATAGACTTACGACAGTCTCCATCCCGTACTCTAGCTCACATAGACTTACGACAGACTTAACTCCTGTACCCTTACATAGACTTACGACAGTCTCCATCCCGTACTCTAGCTCACATAGACTTACGACAGTCTCAACTCCAGTATCCTAACATAGACTTACGACAGTCTCCATCCCGTACTCTAGCTCACATAGACTTACGACAGACTTAACTCCCGTACCCTTACATAGACTTACGACAGTCTCCATCCCGTACTCTAGCTCACATAGACTTACGACAGTCTCAACTCCTGTATCCTAACATAGACTTACGACAGTCTCCATCCCGTACTCTAGCTCACATAGACTTACGACAGACTTAACTCCCGTACCCTTACATAGACTTACGACAGTCTCCATCCTGTACTCTAGCTCACATAGACTTATGACAGTCTCAACTCCCATACCCTTACATAGACTTACGACAGTCTCCATCCCGTACTCTAGCTCACAGAGACTTACGACAGTCTCAACTCCTGTATCCTAACATAGACTTACGACAGTCTCCATCCCGTACTCTAGCTCACATAGACTTACGACAGTCTCAACTCCTGTATCCTAACATAGACTTACGACAGTCTCCATCCCGTACTCTAGCTCACATAGACTTACGACAGACTTAACTCCCGTACCCTTACATAGACTTACGACAGTCTCCATCCCGTACTCTAGCTCACATAGACATATGACAGTCTCAACTCCTGTACCCTTACATAGACTTACGACAGTCTCCATCCCGTACTCTAGCTCACATAGACTTACGACAGTCTCAACTCCCATACCCTTACATAGACTTACGACAGACTTAACTCCCGTACCCTTACATAGACTTACGACAGCCTCCATCCTGTACTCTAGCTCACATAGACTTACGACAGTCTCAACTCCCGTACCCTTACATAGACTTACGACAGTCTCAACTCCCGTACCCTTACATAGACTTACGACAGTCTCCATCCCGTACTCTAGCTCACATAGACTTACGACAGTCTCAACTCCCATACCCTAACATAGACTTACGTCAGTCAGAACTTCCATATTCTCACACAGACTTACAACTGTCCAAACTCCAATACTAACATAGACATACGACAGTCATGGCGCTAACATCGCAAGAAACGAGGTGCTCGGAGCTTCACATTTCATTCTTCTCTACTGAAGAGATCTGCATGTTTATTTCTCTCCAGGGCCTCAGTTCACGAAGCCATCGTAGCACAGCAACTGTCAACTCCATTCTGTAACAGTCTTACACTAGTCTTAGCTATATCAGATATTAATTGCACATAGTCCTGAGATCTCCATCCTTGATTATCCAGGGTATTATATCTCCATTATGTAATAATACCCCTTGTGGACCAATTCACAATCCTAGCTTTGTCTGGAGTCTAGTTAACACCATGTTAATAACTGCCCACAATCTGCACTGTTCTTTCATTAATGAAACAAGGGACAATGTTACCAGTACAATGACTGTCTTGCTATGAGCCATCTCACATATAAGTGGCATTGTTCAGCGCAGTTAATGCAACAGAAGCCCTGCCCATTCTATTATCAGCCAATCAGAAGACAGTAGTATGTTAGTAGGAGTGGCCTAATTTATTTGTCAGTTTTAGTTTATGGAAACATAAACTCGAAAATTGTTGCTTGGTTCGCCAATGAAATGCCACGGAATGACTTGCAAATTATTTATTCAGGAATAGTTACATAGAAAAAAATGTTGCCTTTCTTGTGTTTGAGTATATGTTGTAAGACGCTATCTGTTGATTCCTAATGACGTACATGTTGTAAATATTGACACTAAAAGTTGGAATGTGTAATATTGCAGCTACATTCCATATCAGGCAAAATGCCCGAATACAAAGTACAGGAAGCCAAAAAGTCCCGCTATATCATAGTGCATTATGGGATATTCAAAATCGGCTGGGATTGGTTGATTCTGCTGTGCACATTCTACATCGCCATCATGGTGCCATTCAACGCCACCTTTCAGGGAAAGAGGCGAGCAAGACATTCCATGTACTCGGATGTTGTGGTAGAAATTCTCTTCATCATAGGTAAGTTCTTCATTAAGTATCATTGAATTACATGTTCTCATGGGCTGCTACGGTGGCGGCCAGATTGTTGATCTGGGTTACAATATGTCCTCAGGAGTGAGTGACTGACTGAATGACTTTGGTTAAATGCCACTTTGAACAGTATTCTAGTTATATCAAAGCGTGTCAGCTTAATGTGGGAGGAAAGCCCAAAGTGATGTTGGTCTCAGACCTTTACCACTTTGGTGAAACCAACGAGCACAAATATGGTGCTGACAAAACTAAACATAATCAGGGCAAACTGGGATTCGAACCCATGATCATAAGTTCCTGTCATGCACAAGGGACACAACTCTGCACAGTGCATTGCAGCACATCAGATGACAGGCCACCCATTGCACCAGGTATTCAGGACCTCATTCCAGTGTAGTGAAGGTTGCACTATTGTCATCTGGGTTAGAATAGGTCCCCAGGACCTCATGCTAGGTGTAGTGAGGTGAGTGTTGCACTATTGTCATCTGGGTTAGAATAGGTCCCCAGGACCTCATGCCAGTGTAGTGAAAGTTGCACTATTGCCATCTGGGTTAGAATAGGTCCCCAGGACCTCATGCTAGGTGTAGTGAGGTGAGTGTTGCACTATTGTCATCTGGGTTAGAATAGGTCCCCAGGACCTCATGCCAGTGTAGTGAAGGTTGCACCATTGTCATCTGGGTTAGAATAGGTCCCCAGGACCTCATGCTAGGTGTAGTGGAGGTGAAGGTTGCACTATTGTCATCTGGGTTAGAATAGGTCCCCAGGACCTCATGCTAGGTGTAGTGGAGGTGAAGGTTGCACTATTGTCATCTGGGTTAGAATAGGTCCCCAGGACCTCATGCTAGGTGTAGTGAGGTGAGTGTTTCACTATTGTCATCCGGGTTAGAATAGGTCCCCAGGACCTCATGCTAGGTGTAGTGAGGTGAAGGTTGCACTATGGTGCCCTGGGTTGGAATAGGTCTCCAGGACTTCAGGCTAGGTGTAGTGAGGTGAAGGTTGCACTATGGTGACCTGGGTTGGAATAGGTCCCCAGGACTTCAGGCTAGGTGTAATGAGGTGAAGGTTGCACTATGGTGACCTGGGTTGGAATAGGTCCCCAGGACTTCAGGCTAGGTGTAGTGAGGTGAAGGTTGCACTATGGTGACCTGGGTTAGAATAGGTCCCCAGGACTTCAGGCTAGGTGTAGTGAGGTGAAGGATGCACTATTGTCATCTGGGTTAGAATAGGTCCCCAGGACCTCAGAATATTTTTAAAAACTGGCATGGAACTATAAAAATACATCACTTAACATTTGTGTATTTTCAGACATAGTATTAAACTTCCGCACATCGTACGTGAACAAGAGTGGACAGGTTGTGTATGAGTCTCGTATGATCGCCATGAACTACATCAAGGGCTGGTTTCTCCTCGACCTGCTGGCAGCCATTCCCTTCGACCTCCTGTACGCCGTACAGATCAACACAGTAAGTCCTCCTCTCTGTCGCCATCTTTGTTTCCTTGTGTCTGTCTCAATGTATACTTGATTTATCTCTGCTTCTTGTACCAACTTCTGTCATAGCATCGTCAGTCGCTCTCCTCTCATTGACTAGGGAGTGTGTATACTTGATTTATCTCTGCTTCTAGTACCAACTTCTGTCATAGCATCGTCAGTCGCTCTCCTCTCATTGACTAGGGAGTGTGTATACTTGATTTATCTCTGCTTCTAGTACCAACTTCTGTCATAGCATCATCAGTCGCTCTCCTCTCATTGACTAGGGAGTGTGTATACTTGATTTATCTCTGCTTCTTGTACCAACTTCTGTCATAGCATTGTCAGTCACAATCCTGCAGTACCATCTTCAGAAATAGCAATGTCAGTCATGATCCTCTCATGGGAAGGTTGATTAAAGACACAACAGACAGGTCATCATATCTTCAAGTGATCAGTCACTGTTTAAATATATTTTTTTAAATTATTCTGAATAAATTTGACAAGCATGTTGGTTAGGGTCACCCCAGGAAATAGGAAGAGAATTTATATGTGTAAATACACAAATAAACATTCACGAACAAAGGTTCCTCTCAATGATTGATTGGTCTGTGACTGCCTCAGTGGTCTAGTGGTAGAGCATCTGCCCGGAGAGCCGAAGGTACGGGGTTCAACCCCGGCTGTGTTAATACCAAAATAATTTAAAAGATGGTACTTGCTGTTACCCTGCCTTGCACTCGGCATTAAAGGGCTCGGAGTCAGTATACTGTGTCTGAGTGGGGTATTCATGTTAAACTGCGGCATGGTATCTCAGTGTGCTAGCACTATAAATCGGCATCAGTTCGGACTTGTACAAGCAGCCACACACACACATGCACACATGCACACACACACACACACACACACACACACGCATGCACACACACACACGCATGCACAGTGCTATATAAGTGCAATAATCTTGGACGCGACGTTAAACCCAGTTTCACCTCACCTGGGGTCAGGTTTGTTCCACTCCAACTTCATTGGACATTTTTTTTCAAACACAGAAGTATTTAACCTGTGTGGAGTCAAGTTTTAAATTCGTAGCTATAACACTGAAGACTGACATGTCTGCATAGTGATTGCTGGTTACTTGTAAGTGACAGCCTCAGTCTGCTTCTGTGCATGCCTCTTGCCTTGCTTGTGGGTTACTGGGATGCTTGAGCTCCGCAAGTTGCATGTAAAGCTACCATCTCCTCAATGTACTCCTCCATACCATCACCCCTGGAACATAATGAACTATGCCAGTCACACATCCTCAGCAGGGTCAACTGTCAGGAAGATGGTTCCACTACAGTAAGCACAGGGGTTCTACTTCTGTCTCCTGTTATGACCAAACAGGTGTGTGTAGAAATACTAACATTATGTCCTAAATGTATCCTCAATTATCCAGTGTAGTTTTTCTCCATTCTATTGTGATAAATACCTTTTCGCCGCCGTAGGTTCATTTTGGAAGTGGCACCACCACCACCTCTCTTGTCATTAAGTCAGCACAGAATTTCTTTCGCTCTTGAGTGTACTTTGATTGGATGGTTATTTTTAGAATCATGCGTTTTGGACAATGCCCGTGGAACCTCCTCCATGGAGCTGCAACTTCACCTGATTCTTGATGTTGATGAAATGAAACGTTTATGTGTTCAACATGCTTGTAATATAGTTTGTAATTGTGACAGTAGTGAGGTTAGAATAGGTCTTCAGCGACCCATGCTTGCTGTAACAGACGACTAACAGGATCGGGTGGCAGGTTCGCTGACTTTGTTGATGCATGTCATCATATCCCAATTGTGTGGATCGTTGCTCATGATGTCAATCACTAGATTGCATGGTGTATTTTTATATTTCTTTCAATGTTAAACTTGAGTATTTGTATTAGACCAACCCGATTTTTGAGTGTTTTGTATCTTCATTCTATCAGGATAAACACCCTTGACCCATTCCCACCAAAGCTTCAGGTTTGGAAGTGACGTCACCATCAGCATGCAAGCAAGTGTTTGAGACATTTAATCAAGTCTGAACACTGCTGTACCTCTTTAGTAGAACAAATGGTTTCCTGAGTATTTGGATGACAATTTGGTGACAACACTGTGATCACTAAGAAGCCATTGATATTCAGATGAGTGCATCTTGATAGTCTTTGGAATGGAATTAAATATATTCAAGCTGCTCTCTCTGTATTCCAATGTAAACAGTTGTCAGAAAAACACTACCAGGGAGTAAACATGTCCTGTGTAACGCTGCACAGGCTGGGGAGATCTGTGGCTCCACCCAATGATGTCATCTCTCATCAGGAGTGGGAGGTTCAATCAAGGGTTCTGGATAGTTTCTACGAGATTTACTTTAAAAAGTATCCACCAGTCAATGTCCACTAATTAGTGTGCCAGGTCTCAAAGCTAGTTCCTAAATACCCCCGTGGTTGTCTACATAGAGATTCCAGGACAGAATAGGTCCTCAATACCCCTATGGTTGTCTACATGGAGATTCCAGGGCAGAATAGGTCCTAAATACCTCAGTGGTTGTCTACATGGAGATTCCAGGGCAGAATAGGTCCTAAATACCTCAGTGGTTGTCTTCATGGAAATTCCAGAGCAGAATAGGTCCTCAATACCCCCGTGGTTGTCTACATAGAGATTCCACGGCAGAATACATCCCAAGAACTCCAAGATTGTTGAAATGGATATTTCAGGGCAGAATATGTCCTAAATACCCCCGTGGTTGTCTACATGGAGATTCCAGGTCAGAATAGGTCCTAAATACCTCTGTGGTTGTCTACATGGAGATTCCAGGGCAGAATACATCCCAAGTACTCCAAGATTGTCGAAATGGAGATTCCAGGGCAGGATAGGGCCTGAATACCCCCGTGGTTGTCTACATGGAGATTCCAGGGCAGGATAGGGCCTAAATACCCCGTGGTTGTCTACATGGAGATTCCAGGGCAGAATAGGTCCTCAATACCCCCGTGGTTGTCTACATGGAGATTCCAGGGCAGAATAGGGCCTGAATACCCCCGTGGTTGTCTACATGGAGATTCCAGGGCAGGATAGGGCCTAAATACCCCGTGGTTGTCTACATGGAGATTCCAGGGCAGAATAGGTCCTCAATACCCCCGTGGTTGTCTACATGGAGATTCCAGGGCAGAATAGGGCCTGAATACCCCCGTGGTTGTCTACATGGAGATTCCAGGTCAGAATAGGTCCTAAATACCTCTGTGGTTGTCTACATGGAGATTCCAGGGCAGAATACAACCCAAGTACTCCAAGATTGTCGAAATGGAGATTCCAGGGCAGGATAGGGCCTGAATACCCCCGTGGTTGTCTACATGGAGATTCCAGGGCAGGATAGGGCCTGAATACCCCCGTGGTTGTCTACATGGAGATTCCAGGGCAGAATAGGGCCTCAATACCCCCATGGTTGTCTACATGGAGATTCCAGGGCAGGATAGGTCCTCAATCCCCCCTGGTTGTCTACATGGAGATTCCAGGGCAGAATAAGTCCTCAATACCCCCGTGGTTGTCTACATGGAGATTCCAGGGCAGAATAGGTCCTAAATACCTCAGTGGTTGTCTACATGGAGATTCCAAGGCAGAATAGGTCCTCAATACCCCCGTGGTTGTCTACATGGAGATTCCAGGGCAGAATAGGTCCTGAATACCCCCGTGGTTGTCTACATGGAGATTCCAGGGCAGAATAGGTCCTCAATACCCCCGTGGTTGTCTACATGGAGATTCCAGGGCAGAATAGGTCCTAAATACCCCCATGGTTGTCTACATGGAGATTCCAAGGCAGAATAGGTCCTAAATACCCCCGTGGTTGTCTACATGGAGATTCCAAGGCAGAATAGGTCCTAAATACCCCCGTGGTTGTCTACATGGCGATTCCAGGGCAGAATAGGTCCTAAATACCCCCATGGTTGTCTACATGGAGATTCCAGGACAGAATAGGTCCTAAATACCCCCATGGTTGTCTACATGGAGATTCCAGGGCAGAATAGGTCCTCAATACCCCTGTGGTTGTCTACATGGAGATTCCAGGACAGAATAGGTCCTCAATACCCCGGGGTTGTCTACATGGATATTCTAGGGTAGAATAGGTCCTCAATACCCCATGGTTGTCTACATGGAGATTCCAGGGCAGAATAGGTCCTAAATACCCCCATGGTTGTCTACATGGAGATTCCAGGACAGAATAGGTCCTAAATACGCCCATGGTTGTCTACATGGAGATTCCAGGACAGAATATGTCCTCAATATCCCGGGGTTGTCTACATGGAGATTCCAGGGCAGAATAGGTCCTCAATACCCCGGGGTTGTCTACATGGAGATTCCAAGGCAGAATAGGGCCTAAATACCCTGTGGATTCTACATGGAGATTACAGGGCAGAATAGGTCCTAAATACCCCCATAGTTGTCTACATGGAGATTCCAGGACAGAATATGTCCTGAATACCCCCGTGGTTGTCTACATGGAGATTCCAGGGCAGAATAGGTCCTCAATACCCCGGGGTTGTCTACATGGAGATTCCACGGCAGAATAGGGCCTAAATACCCTGTGGATTCTACATGGAGATTACAGGGCAGAATATGTCCTAAATACCCCCATGGTTGTCTACATGGAGATTCCAGGACAGAATAGGTCCTAAATACCCCCATGGTTGTCTACATGGAGATTCCAGGACAGAATAGGTCCTCAATACCCCATGGTTGTCTACATGGAGATTCCAGGGCAGAATAGGGCCTAAATACCCTGTGGATTCTACATGGAGATTCCAGGGCAGAATAGGTCCCAAATCCCGTGGTTGTCTACATGGAGATTCAAGGGCAGAATAGGTCCTCAATACCCCCGTGGTTGTCTACATGGAGATTCCACGGCAGAATAGGGCCTAAATACCCTGTGGATTCTACATGGAGATTCCAGGGCAGAATAGGTCCCAAATCCCGTGGTTGTCTACATGGAGATTCAAGGGCAGAATAGGTCCTCAATACCCCCGTGGTTGTCTACATGGAGATTCCACGGCAGAATAGGGCCTAAATACCCCCATGGTTGTCTACATGGAGATTCCAGGACAGAATAGGTCCTCAATACCCCGTGGTTGTCTACATGGAGATTCCACGGCAGAATAGGGCCTAAATACCCTGTGGATTCTACATGGAGATTCCAGGGCAGAATAGGTCCCAAATCCCGTGGTTGTCTACATGGAGATTCAAGGGCAGAATAGGTCCTCAATACCCCCGTGGTTGTCTACATGGAGATTCCACGGCAGAATAGGGCCTAAATACCCTGTGGATTCTACATGGAGATTCCAGGGCAGAATAGGTCCCAAATCCCGTCCCATCTTGCAAAGCCATCAACAATCATGCTGGAACAAATAAAAGGACACAACCATTTTATTATTTATGAGAATGTATTTATTCATAATAAGGGGATGACACCAGGTGTTTGAAAAAAGGTGATTGTATCCTGCCTCATAATAAACACATGCAAAGGCAAGTCAATTGCTCGCCTGAAAAAACATGGGAACATGTGGTCAAAAATAGGGAATAGCATCAGACATAATTTTGGCGAATGATGCATCATGTCAGTAGTTGGTATGTAGCCAGTTCTAAATGTAATAATTACCTGTTTGATCTCAAATCTAAATATTTAGCTCACCTGACTGAAAGTCAAGTGAGCTGATGTCGAGGCCTGTTTTTCTGTCGTCAGTCATCATTCATCAGTCGTAAACAACTGGACCAAAGGAAAGTTCACATACATGTACTTGTGGGATGACATCCCAACCTGTTCAAGAGGTTTGAATCTTATTTTCAATATGGCCACCACAGCAGCCATATTGAAAAAACTATTTACGGACGTTACTCGGCCTTTTTTTATCAAAATGTAATGAAATGAGATACATGTGTAGTCAGAATGAACATGAATGTTCAGGTTTTTCTTGTGATATTTGAAATTTGATTGATTTGCCCTTTGCCCTTTGCCCTTTACCCTTTGACCATGCTCCTATGTTCTCTCCAAATGCATTTCCTCACATTGTAAACATCTCCTCGAGCGATGAAGCTGACACTTGTTCCCACCAATGATGACATCTGAATTTGTGGATCCATGCTCGTGACATCAATGGCTGGATTGTCTGGTCCAGACTTGATTATTTACAGATCGCCGTCATATAGCTGTAATATTGCTGAGTGCAGCGTTAAACAACAAACAAACAAAAATGTTAAAGAAGTTCGAATCTTATTTTCAATATGGCCACTACGGCAGTCATATTTAGAAAGTTATTTATGTTCAGTGTTCAGTCATGGTTGGTCGAAATGTAATGACACTTGGTACATAATGGGTTAACGTATCTGTTCTTGGGTTGTTTGTTTTTTGCTATTTGTCTTCATTTTGACCTTGATTTGTCCCATACACTTTGACCATGTTGAAAGCTGAAACTTCTAATGTCCATTCTTTTTCAAAATTAATAAACCTTGATAATTGTGTAGTTTGTTGTAGGGTTCTGGTTTATTTGTGACCTTTGCACTATGTTCCTAAATTCTCTCAAAATGCATATTTGGCTGTGTAGACTTCTCTTAAAGAGCCAGACTGATGGTGCTGAGAGTGTATGTTCCTCCTGAAGATGACATCACATTTTGAGTTGATGCAGAAAATATTTGAACATCAATGCTGTCAATAACGTTTGTTCAGCATCTGTCTCATTTGATGTTTTAAACTGTTGACTACATATATCCAGGTCAGCTTCAGTGTGGTGGCACTGTGTTTATTATTGTCCTGTCTAAGTGGCCCTTTGATCCAATTGACATGCAGCAAGTTGGAAACTTTGCCATGCTGGTGTATACCACGTTATTACATCCCTTCGTATTTCCTGAGTTGTTTTACCCTGACCAATGAATGCATGCAGCCTACTGAACCCGTGTATGTTGACCGTGCTGTTGTTCATTATATTCCCAAGGTTTATGTTTTCTACACTGAAATTACAGAATACTGGATATCATATCGTGAGTGAACTTTAGCCTTTCACTGGTGATGGAAATATTTCAAAACTATTTTTCACAAGTCTTGGAATGTATACAAGTACATCCTGCATATTATCATCCTTTTGCCTGGATACACTGAGGGAGTGACATTCTGAGAATATGCATGCAACTCTATCCACTCCTCTTATTCTGGTGGTTTTAAAACTGAATGCATCAGCCGTACACCAATCTACTTGTTCAGCATAGACAGGCTAATAGCATTTGCTGAAGGAGTCTCATCTGGATGACAATCGATCATCTAATGAACTTTCAAACCTGGATTTAGGTGTGTAGACCTGTTAGGATATGCGTCCACCTTACAGAGATCAATATTTTATGGGCATAAAAAAAAAGTTATGGCTGCAAAAAAAAGTGAATTCTTTTTGGATGATTGATACAATTAAAGCTGGTGACAGATTGTGAGAGAACGCTCCAACTGTCTGCCTGCTGCTCCATACTGGTCAAGTTGTACTACATGACAGGCAACACATTTCGGCTGTATCAACATTTTGGGATTGAAATCCATTTTGCAAAGTAATTGAACCAGTTTCTCATCCCATCTACAGCACCTTGAAGTGTAATTATATTAGGTGTGTTTGATCCCCTCATGTGTTGGCACTTTTATGAATTCGCTCTGACATTTGGTACTAATAAATGGAATTATTGTGGGGGAAAAACAATTAGGCGAGATAAACTCAATTACTTGCTTCGCAGATTGTTTATACCAAAACTAATTTGTCTTTTCTTTTTAAAGAAATATGAATTAGTGGCTATATTTATTACTGCATTGTGCCTCTTCTCATATTTGCTAGGGTACAATTGTATAATTGTATAGTCCACGCCCACCAGGGGTCAGTTCTATGCTAATCAGAACAAGTTACAGAACACCCACAAGTGTGTTGCAGTACACACCTGTCAGAAAAACTATTGTCACATGAAAAAATCTGTGTTCGTTAACTTCTTTGGAGTATAACGTAACAAGTTTAGATTTAGGATAACACTTAGTCAATTACAAATTCTGGTACTTTTTTGGGGTTGAGTCCCATCCGGGATTCGAACCCAGCTGTGAATTGATAGATGAAGTATTATAGTTATTACCTGTTTGAGGGGGTGTTAGGGTGAGGGTAGGTAGGGTGAGGTAAGGGTAGGGGGTGAGGGTAGGGCGGTGTGTGAATGTATGGGGTATGGGGTTGAGAAGGAGTGGTTCGGGGTGAGGGTTGTAAACTTGTCCTTAAAAATGATAATTTCAATGAATTAATAAATTTGCGGGTATCTATCATTCTCAGACCACCTTCTTCATATTTCCTTATCAAGGTAGATATTTTTATTTTGTCTGGTTTGTTATTCCAAATGAATGTATAAAATAGTTTATTCAATTTTCCAATAAAATCATCAGGTGGGTTTGGAAGTGCTGAAAATATATGAACTAATGTTGAAAGAGTCTTTATAACTGTGATTTTACCTATTAATGTTAGATGTCTTTTTTTCCAGTTTCCCAGTAATCTATTAATATGTTTGAGTCTTTTTCTTGTATTTATTACCCACAGATAATGTAATGTGGGATTAAATATTATTCCCAAGACTTCAAAGTTTCCCTCATGCCAGTCTAGTATTATGTCCTCACAGAGTTTGATGCTGTTTCCTGCCATTGAACCTATCCATATAGCTTTAGTTTTGTCAATATTTACCTTCAGACCGGATATTCTATAAAATGTATTCAAAGTATCAATTGCAGCTCTTAGACACTCTTCAGATCCATCTAAAAATAACTGTGTATCATCTGCATATTGACCTTATTTATACTCCAAATCATTTATTGTTATACCTTTTATGCCTTTATTATTCCTAATCATTATTCCTAGTATCTCAGCTACAAGCAAAAATAGGTAGGGTGAAAGTGGGTCACCTTGTCGGCATCCTCTTTGGTTCTGAAAAAATGTGGAGAGGTGTCCATTTTGTATTACACAAGATGATGCATTCTTAGTTAAGATATTAACCCATTTAATTATGTTTGGTCCAAAACCAAATTTGTTCATAACCAATTCAATAAATATTTTGGAAAGACTTTTCAAAATCAATGAGTAATAAAAGTCCTGCCCTGTTTTGCTCTTTCAGCTCGTACATGATATCATACATGGTTCTCAAATTTTCATTTACACATCGGCCAGGTATAAAGCCAGTTTGGTCACTATGTATAAGCGTATCTAATGTTTTCTTAATTCTGTTTGCTACACAAGAACTTAAAATTTTATATATATAGTATTTAGAAGAGAAATTGGTCGCCAGTTTTTCAGCAGCCTTCTGTTTTTGTTTTGTTTCGGAATACATGTAATTATTCCTCTATTTATAGTTAAGGTAATTTGATTTTTTTGGAAAGTTTCATTTATATACCTAAAAACCAAAACACCTAAGTCATTCCAAAAGAATTTTAAAAATTCAGCTGGAAACCCATCCAGGTCAGGGCTTTTGTTATTCTTCAATGATTTAACAACTTTTGCAAGTTCAAACATTTCAATAGGTTTTTCAAGGCTATCCGCAAGTGAGTTACTAAGTACAGGGGTATCAACATCATCTAATACTTGTCTGACTTCAAAAGTATGTTCCCTTTCAGAACTTCTAGATGAGAATCGGTTTTTGTAAAATTCGTTCTGTTCAGACAGTATTTCGTCACCTTCACCTGGGGGGTGAGGGTTGTTGGTTGAGGGTAGGGGAAGCTGGGGTTAGGGTAGGTGGGGTGGGGTGAAATGAAGGGAGTTGGGGAAAGGGTGGGTGAGGGTAGGTAGGATGGGGTGTGGGTAGGGGTATGGGATGAGGATTGGTGGTTTGGGGAAAGGGTTGGTGAGGGTAGGTAGGATGGGGTGTGGATAGGGGGGATGGGGTTTAGGATTGGTGGTTTGGGAAAAGGATGGGTGAAAGTAGATAGGATGGGGATGGGGTGTGGGTAGGGGGGATGGGATGAGGATTGGTGGTTTGGGGAAAGGTGGGGTGAGTGAGGGTGAAGTGGGGTGAGGTGACACTCAGATCTGTGAAACAAGTATTTAGATTTGTCTGGTCTTATGTTGAAAAACCAATAAAACTGTTTCATTTTACATTTTACATTTTACCCGGATTAAGTGTGTTCTATAATGTTTCTGTGATGACTGTTGAGAGATGTAGGGTATGTTGACTTACATGTAGAGTATCTGGTAGGCTCAAGGTGGAACTCCTGGCTGTCGTGGTGTCATGTCGAACTTCAACAGACTCCAACCAGCAAAGACAGACCATGCGGACATGAAGGAGTACACTGTGCAGAGTTGTGTCCCTTGGCTGTCTCAGCTCATAGCGGCCTGTCCGGATAATCAACCTTCATTGTCACCTTTGCCCACCATTTTCTGTAAACGTCAAGCAACTGTGAATTGTTGTTTTTTATATTCCAAATTAAGACTTACCAGTGTGCTTTGACTGAAATGATTTTCCATTTGAAACTGGTAATTCATAATAATAGTTTAATGCCAACAGATCATGATCATTCTATCATGCTAAATAGTGCCAAAGTTTTGTACAAGGAAAGCACTGCTCAAGGGGTGAAAGGGTAGCCTAGTGGTTATGGTGCTCGCTCGCTACGCCCAGGGTTAGGGTTTAATTCCCCACATGGAAACAATGTCTGCATCCCATTTCAGGTGTCCCCCGCCTAATATTGCTGGAATATATCTCAGAGTGCTGTAATACCATGCTCACTTACTCCTGTTCATTGTGGAGACAACTTTACTCACTCAAGCACTCAAGCACTCACTCACCCACTCTTCACTCACTCACTCACTCACTCACTCACTCCACTAAGATTGACGGTACATGTAATTTCAAACATCACTAACAAAAACTATTGTTATTAGACAATAAAGTAAAGTTTGTAATATATCCAGAAATTCCTTTGCCGTGATGTCCATGATTTTGTTCTATATGAGGTGTCGTTTTACTATTTATCCCTGATTTTATGATATCAGTAATTCATATATTGATATCACAAAATGAATTAGCGATATCACAAATTTGATTTATAGATTGACGACTGGGAGTGTGGGGAGTTTAACTTATTATCAGAATGTCATATTCAGCATAAAAAAAATTAACCTATTTTTTTATATTTTACCAAACAAAATAGCCCCCCAAAATATATCCAATGTATTTTAGGCATGATAAGCAAGACAGAGATTATTGAAATGATTGATAGACATTACTTAGAAGTTGACGGATGACAAAGTAGACACAATTTATGGATAACAACTTATTTGTTTACTGTAAGGTTGACGAGCAACTCATGCTTGCTGTAAAAGGCGACTATGCTTGTCATAAGAGGCGACTAACGGGATCGGGTGGTCAGGCTCACTGACTTGGTTGATGCATGTCATCTATCCCAATTGTGTGGATAGATGCTCATGACATCAATCACTGGATTGTCTGGTCCAGACTCGATTATTTACAGACCGCCGTCATATAGCTGGAATATTGTTGAGTGCGGCGTTAAACAACAAACAAAAAACATGTAAGGCTGACGTTTCGATATAGACACTTATACCATTTTTAAGTCTTATGTTATCCATAAATTGTGTCTACTTTGACAGACATTATTGGTGGCAAGCAGCTTAGTGATTCACTGTAGTAGGACATAAATGGAGAATTCATTTTTTTCATGAAACTAGAATTCTTTTCAAATTTGTGATATCTAAAATTAATTTTGTGATTTCAAAAATTGAATTTGTGATGTCACTAATTCATTTTTTATTCAATAATTTGATTTAGTGATATCTAAAAAAACATAAAGGATTTTTTTGATATCTCAAAATTGATTTGTGATGTCAATACATGAATGATTGATAACACAAGTGTGGGAATAAATAGTACAGCATGCCTGATAGTTCAAACCATAATGTTTCATGATGTACTGACTGAACTGTTATATTTGTTGGAACTGTGAATGCCCACCCACACACCATGACCACAGCAAACAATGTATGGCTGTAACTTGAGATTTAATTCCACCTCCCACGTCGATTATATGCAAATGACAAGCACGTGTCTATCAAGTATTCCTGTTGAATATTTATCACAATGAATATCTGCATGTTTTAATGCAATATATTTTTGTTAAATATTTTGATTACAGGTATATTTTCACAATATGGCTGGAATATTGCTTAAAGTAGTGTGAAACCCCGCTCACTCACTCACTCACTCAGCCTCAGTCGGCCATTTGACCCCTGCAGATCCAGGGTAGAATAGGTCATCAGCAACCCATGCTTGCTATAAAAGGCGACTATGGTTGTCATAAGAGACAAATAACAGCTCACTGACTTGATTGATGCTTGTCATCGTATCCCAGTTGCGTGGATCGATGTTCATGATGTCAATCACTGGATTGTCTGGTCCAGACTCGATTATTTACATACCGCCATCATATAGCTGGAATATTGTTGAGTGCAGCGTTAAACAACAAACAAACAAACAAACAAACATTCAGCCATGTGGTGTCTTCAGTGTTTTAGTGTGGTACTGAAGATATACACTTGACACTGGTATCTTCGTGTCGTGTTCAAACAGGCTACTGTACGAAGGTCAGAGCTCCAGATAAGCTGCGTATCTGCGTAAAATACGCATCAGAAATGCAGAAATATACAATAAAATAACATCAAAGCGTATCAAATACGCAACAAACATTACAGATACGCTACAAAAATAAAACTTGTGCGTATCATCAAAATATTATGAAGTAACCCTGCGTATTCGAATAGCAAATCAGCAACTTATTTGGAAATTATAAACAGGCATTCCTTCAACCTTGCCAAACTCCATGATGACAGTTACATCATAATCATTTGCCATCACACTTTCTTTAGGAACTACCAGTTTGCAGGGACTAGATGAATAGTGTTTTTAAATATTTAACTTAAATATCCACATGTGTAAAAACTAGTGGGTAACAGAAATTGAATACCCATATAGAATTACTGATACCCAATGATTTTAAAATGCATGGGTAAAATACCCACAACACCAAAAGCTTATCTGGAGCTCTGGAAGGTAAAATGATAAGTCAATTGTATGCCTCCGTTTTGAGGGGCATGCAGAAGGTTCAGTCATCTAAGGTGTGGCAATTTGCTGTGCAGAGTTGCATCCCTTGGGCATGCCAGAAGTCTGTGATCATGGGTTCGAATGACAGTTCATCTGGATTGTGTTTCTAGGCTGGTTGGCACCATACCCATGCTCGTGGGTTTCACCAAAGTGGTAAATGTCTGAGAGCTGCATCACTTCAGGCTTTCCTCACACATCAAGCTGACACACTGTGATGTAACTGGAATACTGTTAAAAGTGGTGTATAACCCAACTCACTCACTCACTCAATAGCTATCACCAAAAACTACAGACATAAAAACAGTGACAATGTAAAATGTTAGATTTCAATTGAATGGAAACTAAAGAAAATTGGAAGCCACAAGTTGTTTGACATGGTATACCAGAAACGTGTGTTATTTACAAGTACAATCAGTGTAGCATGGTTCAGGATGAGTCAGTGTCCACCATCATGCATGTTCCCGAGGCAAGGCAGTTACCTGACTACAAAAGTCCAGTTTCCACCCTTGCTGAACTAGGCGGGAATTTCTGGGCTCGATCGTAGCGCCACCAGTGGCTAGTATGAATTATGTCCCTTCTGTGTCCCTCCTATTGACAAATCAGATTCTACCTCTCGTATCACTTGCTTTAGCTTCAAACAAGATGGTGGTGCCCAGTCAAGACGATCTGATCGCTTATCAAGATCTAAGTCGTAATAAACTTCGCGAAGTGCATCAAATCATGTGAGCACCTTGATTAAAAACATTAAAAGATTTGGAAAATATCTGTTGATGCTAAGTTGACGGTACACATGCATTGCATATTCTACAATCAACAGAAATCTTCAAAGCAGTTTACGAATCAGATGTCTAGTTTGTTATGCGATTGTGATGGAACTATGCATAGTCAGGTTAGTCCAGCCAAAATATAACTCCATAAATCCAGCCTAGTTCGGCAAGGGTGAAAACTGGACTTTTATAGTCAGTTAATTCCCTTGCCTCAGGAAGACGGTATCTACATGAGTTGCATCGCCTCAGTAGTAGACCTTTGTGACTGACAAGATGAACTGCATAAAGAGAAATGGTACCTCTTTAAAAAATAGTTTTAAAATCTATGAGTAAGTTAGAATTCCTACGCAGTGTTTGAGTTCCAAGTCTGTTCATCCCTACTGGACATTCAGGAGTATTTCATTCAGTGTTTTTGTTCTGCCATGTTTATAACCAGAGGTTGTAACCTTTATTCATATTCAAGGCATTTAGAAGTGATACACATAAGGAAGAGAATTTATGGAATAACTTCTTTATTATGAGGAACACACTGTTCCAGAGTATATGCTGACTCCTCATCAGGTGAACGATAAAGAAGTTGACATCCATATATTCTCTTCCTCTGTTCATATTATTATTTAGAATGCTTGTCATTCGTCCAAACTAGTTTGGCTGTCTCAGAAGCATCTGTGTGTTGTGTCAAGCATTCTTATAATGTGAACCATGTCCTTTTAACAATAACAGTGTGCCCTGTAAACGTGAACCATGTCCTTTTAACGATAATGGAGTGCCCTGTAAATGTGAACCATGTCCTTTTAATGATAACGGAGTGTCCTGTAAATGTGAACCATGTCCTTTTTACGATAATGGAGTGTCCTGTAAATGTGAACCATGTCCTTTTAATGATGACGGAGTGTCCTGTAAATGTGAACCATGTCCTTTTAATGATAACGGAGTGTCCTGTAAATGTGAACCATGTCCTTTTAATGATAACGGAGTGTCCTGTAAATGTGAACCATGTCCTTTTAATGATAACGGAGTGTCCTGCACATGATAACAAGGTGTCCTTTTAATGATAACACGGTGACCAATCAATAATTAAGAGTTTCCTGTAAATGGTAAAAGAGTGTTGTTTACCCAGTAAATAACATATTTAAATGACCAAGAGAAACAACAGGGTTTATTGTTCTTTATAGCTAAAATGGATCGAATTATCATTAAAACGCCCGCATGTTATAAGAAATGAGCGGGCCACTGTAACTTGATAATGCCCTCATATTGCTTGACGACGGGCCATTATCACGCCCGTTGTTAGGTGATGTCATAGGAAAGGGATAGGTGACGTCACGTTCAATAGTGACGTCATCTGGTTTGTTCTATGACGATTCCATAATTGTAAAAGTGGGTCAGTGACATGTTGATTGCAGTAAATGTTTCAAAAACGTTGTTGTTTCTTTATATTTGATAACAAATTCCATCCATTTTAGCTATGATAAAGGAAACGCTATTTTTCAGGGCATTATCATTTGCAGAAGACCTCGATCTTTTCAACTGCCCTCCTTCATCGGGCAGTTAATGGAAGACCTAAGGCTTCTGCAAATGATAGTGCCCTGAAAAATAGCGTTACCCTTATAATAACAGCAGGACTCAGTAACAGCTGTTGTGAGTTCTTCATGAATGTTCTAAAATTAAGATTTGCAACAACAAAATGTTTGTATCTTCCTCATTTACAAACCCTGTACTGGGCAATATATAAGGGACATTTATTTAACCCAGCAGGATTTCTATTTGATAAATGTTCCCACTTTGTACTTATTTATTTTTTTCCAATATGTACACATTAAAAAGGTGAAGAAACTAAACAACTACTGATGTGTGTCTGAAAGTGTTTGATGTTGAGTTTATTACTTAATATACCAAGGGAAACCAAGGCTAAAATACATTGAAACATTTTCAATTTGTTTTTCTCACCCAGTGTCCCATGTTACAGAGAATAAGTGCCATTTGTCTTGTAGCATCAGTACCCAATGGAATGTTTCGTCAGAATATCAAGAACGGTTATTCCCTGATTTCTATATTTCTTTGTATTGCACTTACATCTGTACCAAACATTTTCCAACATCATGTTGATTTAAATAATCAGATAAAATTATCAGACAATAATAAAAAATATGTATTTCATTTACTGTTTACACACCTATAGATGAACAGATGTGCCTGTTAAACATAAGGAAGTAGACTTGAAATTAATACTTTTGTGTTGCGATAATGTCAGGTGAGCTTCAGTACCCGTGACCTCCCCACGTGGTGGTGTGTATGTCATCTCTAACACTGTGTGCTCAACAGGGCACCCTCATCCATCTGCTGAAAGTGGCAAGACTGTTGCGGTTGGCGAGGTTGTTGCAGAAGCTGGACCGGTACTCCCAGTACAGCGTCCTCGTCCTCACTCTGCTCATGTCCATGTTTGCGCTGGCTGCTCATTGGATGGCCTGCATCTGGTTCGCCATCGGCAAGAATGAAATTGAAGATAATCCAATGAACAGGACAGTTGGTAAGACGGACTTCTTTCAGCAGTACATGCGTGAGAGGGATCATGATTTGGATTTACACAAAAAGATAAATGTTTTTTCTGGTTATCGAGGACTTCCATTTCTTGGAGTGATGAAAGTATTCTCTGTCACATTGACAGAGTGTCTCATTTTGTAAGTGCAGTATTTCGGCTGGTTTTTTAAATTTCATTGTTGAGCCAGACCAGTTTTTGGCAATTTTTGTGGAGGTAAAATATAACTATGGAAAGTTTTAGGCTCTAGATTAATTGCATTGAAAGTCCTTGTGAAATAAGAACAGAAACTAACTTCCTCATCCAAACCAATCATGAATGCTGTTTCATTGTCCCATCTTGTTTCTCTTCCCCGAGACAATGAGACAGGCCATGTCATCATAAGACTCTATCAAACTCTCCGCACCATCGACCCATGAAGATCAGGGGTAGAATAGAACCCATGCTTGCCGTAAAAGACGACTAACGGGATCAGGTGGTCAGGCTCGCTGACTTGGTTGATGCATGACATCATATCCCAATTACGTGGATCGATGCTCATGATGTCAATCACTGCATTGTCTGGTCCAGACTTGATTATTTATAAACTGCTGTCATATAGTTTGAATATTGCTGAGTGCAGCGTTAAACAACAAACAAACAGACAAATCTCTGCATCATCGGAATGACATGCAAATATGAGTGAGGGAGTGAGTTGGGTTTATTGCCGCTATGAACAGTATTCAGGTATATTAAGGTGAGTGAGCTTGATGTGGGAGGAAAGCTTGTTTGTTTCTTGTTTAAATCTTCACTCCTCAATATTCCAGCTATAAGATGTCAGTTTGTAAATAATCAAGCCAGGACCAGACAATCCAGTGATTGACATCATAAGCATTGATCTATGCTATTAAGTGAAGCAGTTTCTTTAATGAAACCCACAAGCATGGGTTTGGTGCTGACAATGCTGACAAACCCATGAATGATAATGATAGGATTCTGGCACACCTAAGGGATGCAACTCTGTATCTGCTTGATAGGTTGGCTGTACGAGCTTGGAAACCGAATTGAGAACCCGATTGTGAATCACACCATTGAGGAGGTTGATACCATGACGTCATACGTGACGGCACTCTACTTCACCTGCAGCAGCCTGACGAGCGTAGGTTTCGGCAATGTCTCCGCCAACACCAACATCGAGAAAATATTCTCAGTGTGTGCTATGCTTGCTGGAGGTAAGAGTCCTTTTTGTATCTTAGTAGAGGATTGATGAGATTTCAGAAATAGTGTACTTTTATTTTATCAAGGTGAGCTTTAGTGCTCATTGCTTTTTGAGAAAAATCTCATCTTCCCAAGACAAGGGTGTTAACCAACTGCAAAAGTCCAGTTTCCACCCTTGCCCGACTAGGCTGGAATTTCATGGCTCAACTGTAGCACCGCCAGTGGCTATTAGGAGTTATGTCCCTGCTATGTCCCTGCTATTGACCAATCAGATTCCACCAATTGCATCACTTGCATTTGCTTCAAATAAAATGGCAGCTCTTAGTCAAGACAATGTGATCGATAATCAAGATCTATATCGTCATAAAAAGGGTCTTACCTTGCAAAGTGCTTCACATCACTTGAGCATGAAAGGATTTGGAAAATATCTGTCAACGCCCAGTTGACGGTACACATGCTCGGCTCATCCTGCCATCGACGCAATGTTGTTTATGAAGTTGATGTCGATTTTGTTACGCGATTATGATTGAACTATGCATTAGTCCAGCAAAAATACGACTCCATAATTCAGGCCTAGTTCGGCAAGGGTGGAAACTGGACTTGTATCGTCTTGCCTTGGGAAGATAGGCCTAGTTCGGCAAGGGTGGAAACTGGACTTTTATCGTCTTGCCTTGGGAAGATAGGCCTAGTTCGGCAAGGGTGGAAACTGGACTTTTATCGTCTTGCCTTGGGAAGATAGGCCTAGTTCGGCAAGGGTGGAAACTGGACTTTTATCGTCTTGCCTTGGGAAGATAGGCCTAGTTCGGCAAGGGTGGAAACTGGACTTTTATCGTCTTGCCTTGGGAAGATAGGCCTAGTTCGGCAAGGGTGGAAACTGGACTTTTATCGTCCTGCCTTGGGAAGATAGGCCTAGTTCGGCAAGGGTGGAAACTGGACTTTTATACTCTTGCCATGGGAAGATGAACAAACCTATAATGAGTATAAAGGTTTAAATACTTTAGCAAAATGTGTAAGTCTGTGACTGTGATGATAATGCTGTAAAAGTCATTGAAATAACTATATGTGACTGTCATACCCAGTTATTAAGAGAATATCACACTTGTTATGGCGCAGCCTTATTTGTGTTAGTATGGAATGGCCAGTTCCAAGAGTGCGAAATGTCTTAAAAACTTCTTATTTAAATCATGCAATGATATAAATTGTGAAGAAAGAAAAGATGGATTGACATAGTGAGATCGTCTGAGAAGCAGCTCAGAAATATAACTGTAATGTGATTGAAATATCCATACTGTATTTTGTATCAAGTAATGAAATGCAATATTTGTCTGAAAGTATGAAATTGATGTGGACTTTTCTTGTTACTTGATGTTATTTCACAAAGTAAATTGACATCATGTTGGAACTTCTTTGTGTCTGCAACAATGACACCGTGGTATTTTGATGACTGGCGTATATATATATATATATACACCAACTCCGACAAAAGAAACGTGAATACCATAAATTTTGGTTAATATATGAAGACTTACTCATATTCAAGAGCTGTTAGATTGGTTTGATGCACAAATGAACAAACTGGTATGTTGTGTGAACCAACATTCATGAACGCATCACATGTGATGTCAAAGATCATGACTCAAGATGCACCATTTGTCTCGTGCAGGATTAGTGTGTAAAGTTTGGAAATCACGTGCAGCATATCGTGATAAGAATAAAGACACTGTGGTAACACTTGACTGATTGATAGTTTTGTCATGAAGTGGTACACATTGGAAACATCTCTACTTAACATAGATACTTCTCTGTGGTTCTATGGTTCATGTTTCTTTTAGCGGTGAGTATACATACATTCAATAAGAGGCTCCTCCCTGTTGCAGCCATGATGCATGCTGTCATCTTCGGTAACGTCACTGCAATAATCCAGAGAATGTATGCCCGGCGCCAAAACTTTCACTCCAGAACAAAGGACCTTAAAGACTTTTTCCGTACCCACCACATCCCCAAAACTCTGAAACAGCGAATGCAGGAATACTTCCAAACCATGTGGTCCATGAACAATGGCATTGACCTTCATGAGGTAGGTTGTGTGGTCAAGGTCGCTGTAGAGGTTACCTCTCTCTCTCTCTCTTTCTCTCTCTCTCTCTCTCTTTCTCTCTCTCTCTCTTTCTCTCTCTCTTTCTCTCTCTGTGTATGTGTGTGTGTGTCCATGTGTGGGTGTGGGTGTGTTTACCTGTTTGCATGCGTGGTCAACATAACGTTAAGGCCTCATTCCACAAGTCAGTGTTACTGCTAGTCATAGCTTCAATGTTTGAACATACACTTTCAATAGTCATGGATGTAAGAGTTGAACAAGAGTTTAATGGATGGAAATTTATATTGTATTTGCCAGATTTTGAAAGACTTCCCCGAGGAAATGCGTGGTGAGATCGGACTTCACCTGAACCGTGAGATTCTGTCCCTCCCAATCTTTGAAAGTGCTACCCAGGGCTGTCTGAAGTCGATCACCCTGCAGACCCGCCGCATCTTCTGTGCCCCTGGGGAGTTTCTTCTCCACAAGGGCGACGCTGTCAACTACATCTACTACCTCTGCAGCGGATCCATGGAAGTGCTCAAGGAGGAGATGGTCGTGGCTATCCTTGGTGGGTCTTCTCAGCTCACCCCAATCACTTCTCGCCTGAATCACTTCTCACCTGAATCACTTCTCACCTCACCTGAATCACTTCTCACCTCACCTGAATCACTGTTCACCTGCATCGATTCTCACCTCACCTGAATCACTTCTCGCCTGAATCACTTCTTGCCTGAATCCCTTCTTACCTCACCTGAATCACTTCTCACCTCACCTGAATCATTTCTCACCTGAATCACTTCTCACCAGAATCACTGCTCATCTGAATCACTTCTTGCCTGAATCCCTTCTTACCTCACCTGAATCACTTCTCACCTCACCTGAATCACTTCTCACTTCACCTGAATCACTTCTCACCTCACCTGAATCACTTCTTACTTCACCTGAATCACTTCTCACCTGAATCACTTCTCACCTCACCTGAATCATTTCTCACCTGAATCACTTCTCACCTCACCTGAATCACTTCTCACCTCACCTGAATCACTTCTCACCTCACCTGAATCACTTCTCATCAGAATCACTGCTCACCTGAATCACTTCTCACCTCACCTGAATGACTTCTTACCTCACCTGAATCACTTCTCATCTCACATGAATCACTTCTCACCTCACCTGAATCACTTCTTACTTCATCTGAATCACTTCTCACCTGAATCACTTCTCACCTGAATCACTTCTCGCCTGAATCACTTCTTGTCTGAATCACTTCTCACCTCACCTGAATCACTTCTCACCTGAATCACTTCTCGCCTGAATCACTTCTCACCTCACCTGAATCACTTCTCGCCTGAATCACTTCTTACCTGAATCCCTTCTCACCTCACCTTAATCACTTCTCACCAGAATCACTGCTCACCTCAATAATTTCTCACCTCACCTGAATCACTTCTTACCTCACCTGAATCACTTCTCACCTCACCTGAATCACTTCTCACCTCATCTGAATCACTTCTTACCTCACCTGAATCACTCCTTACCTCACCAGAATAACTTCTCACCTCACCAGAATCATTTCTTACCTGAATCACTTCTCACCTCACCTGAATCATTTCTCACCTCAACTGTATCATTTGTCACCTGAATCACTTCTCACCTCACCTGAATCACTTCTCACCTCAGCTGAATCATTTCTCACCTCACTTGGATCATTTCTCACCTCACCTGAATCATTTCTCACCTGAATCACTTCTCACCTTACCTGAATCACTTCTCACCTCACCTGAATCACTTCTCACCTCACCTGAATCACTTCTCACCTCACCTGAATCACTTCTCGCCTGAATCACTTCTTGCCTGAATCCCTTCTCACTTCTCACCAGAATCACTGCTCACCTCAATAATTTCTCACCTCACCTGAATCACTTCTTACCTCACCTGAATCACTTCTCACCTCACCTGAATCACTTCTCACCTCACCTGAATCACTTCTCACTTCATCTGAATCACTTCTTACCTCACCTGAATCATTTCTCGACTCACTTGGATCATTTCTCCCCTCACCTGAATCATTTCTCACCTGAATCACTTCTCACCTCACCTGAATCACTTCTCACCTCACCTGAATCACTTCTCATCTCACCTGAATCATTTCTCACCTCACCTGAATCATTTCTCACCTCACCTGAATCATTTCTCACCTCACCTGAATCACTTCTCACCTGAATCATTTCTCACCTCACCTGAATCATTTCTCACCTGAATCACTTCTCACCTGAATCACTTCTCACCTCACCTGAATCACTTCTCACCTCACCTAAATCACTTCTCACCTCACCTGAATCCAAGTATCTCTTTCATAAATTTTAACATCTTTTCTGAAATCACAAGGCCCATAAAATTGAAATTTTGCATGGATATTTCTGAAGTGTGAATTAATGGTGACACTCTAGTGGTGTACCACTTTTACTACAGAAAGAATATATTCATTAATCTTGCCGTTCTTGGTATGCTTATGTTTCTGTTTTTCTTCCCAAATTTGTGAAAATAGCAACTTTTTAGGAAGCTCTGAAAATTTGGTTTCATAATTCAAACATCTTGTTTCAGGAAAAGGCGACCTGTTCGGCACTGACATTGCATTTGAGGAACCAATCAGCATCTCGGCCTGTGACGTGCGGTCATTAGCGTACTGTGAACTTCTATGCATCAACCTGAAGGGTCTGCTAGATGCACTTGCCCTATATCCAGAATTCTCTGAAAAATTTGCTCAAGAAATTCAACATGACCTCACATACAACTTAAGAGAAGGTCATGACGACTCGTCCTCTATAGTCACAACGGTAGTTGTCTCCCCTTTTTTTACCTCTATTTAAACAATGTATTGCTTGAATGTGAATTGCATAATCCCACATTTGGGGACACTAGACATGAATATGTTACCGCCCTATTTGTTGAATAGGTCGTTGACCTATCATGATTGATGGTGCTTTTCATCTGTCTGTTCTTTAATTGAAAATGTCATCTACAGTATTTTTGGCCATTCATGCAAACATCCATGTCTAATTAGTATGTAGTAAGTTTTTCCTTATTTTGAGTTTTGACCCAGTATTGTCATGCTAAGATTTGCACCCTAGCTTTGTAATGTTGATCAGATTTGTTTCATTTTGTGTGAGGATCCTTGTGAAATTGTGATTTCCAGAAGTATGGCATTGTGGAACCAAGAAAATAAAACAAGGCGGCAGACTTCCTCCAGGTGTTTAATTAATAGCATATGTGCTCACACTATCAACCCCTGGTTTGGCTACCCGAGACATAATGACTCTGCAGGCCACTGATTGAAAATAAAATGACCATCCCCATGCCATCATGCGAATGTGTCATCCTTTCAAGGAATAGCAACAATGTTTGGCCCTTGACTGTGATCCACCATTGTTGGTTGTCTGTAGGAGGATGAAGAAGAGGAGGAGAGCCCCATCGCCCCCGTCATCACGCTGCCCTCCATCTCCGAGGATGAGGAGGAAAACACAGACGACGATGATGATGACAGAAAGGCTGGGGGGTTCATCAGCAAGCTCCAGTTTGCTGATGAAGACACCGACCAATCAGACACAAGAGATCATTCATCGTCGTCGCCGCTGCTGAACCAGTCTGACAGTAGTTTACATACGATCGTCCCCAACGGAGATCTGCAGGGATTATCAAGGTTTGTCTGTCGGATGTCTTCTTTTGTGATTCACCTGTTTTTGCAATAGGCAGAACTCGCTGTCGGTTAATTTAATGTTGTCCAATTGTATAGCAATCCTATAACCTCTTCATGTCAATTCAATCATTTACTCCAACAGTATATTGTGTCCAGTAACAATTCCCTCACAGTATTAATGTGTCCAGTAGCAATTCCCTCACAGTATTAATGTGTCCAGTAGCAATTCCCTCACAGTATTAATGTGTCCAGTAGCAATTCCCTCACAGTATTAATGTGTCCAGTAGCAATTCCCTCACAGTATTAATGTGTCCAGTAGCAATTCCCTCACAGTATTAATTTGTCCAGTAGCAATTCCCTCACAGTATTAATGTGTCCAGTAGCAATTCCCTCACAGTATTAATGTGTCCAGTAGCAATTCCCTCACAGTATTAATGTGTTCAGTAGCAATTCCCTCACAGTATTAATGTGTCCAGCAGCAATTCCCTCACAGTATTAATGTGTCCAGTAGCAATTCCCTCACAGTATTAATGTGTCCAGTAGCAATTCCCTCACAGTATTAATGTGTCCAGTAGCAATTCCCTCACAGTATTAATGTGTCCAGTAGCCATTCCCTACCAGTATTAATGTGTCCAGTAGCAATTCCCTCACAGTATTAATGTGTCCAGTAGCCATTCCCTCACAGTATTAATGTGTCCAGTAGCAATTCCCTCACAGTATTAATGTGTCCAGTAGCAATTCCCTCACAGTATTAATGTGTCCAGTAGCAATTCCCTCACAGTAATAATGTGTCCAGTAGCCATTCCCTACCAGTATTAATGTGTCCAGTAGCAATTCCCTCACAGTATTAATGTGTCCAGTAGCAATTCCCTCACAATATTAATGTGTCCAGTAGCAATTCCCTCACAGTATTAATGTGTCCAGTAGCAATTCCCTCACAGTATTAATGTGTCCAGTAGCCATTCCCTACCAGTATTAATGTGTCCAGTAGCCATTCCCTCACAGTATTAATGTGTCCAGTAGCAATTCCCTCACAGTTTTAATGTGTCCAGTAGCAATTCCCTCACAGTATTAATTTGTCCAGTAGCAATTCCCTCACAGTATTAATGTGTCCAGTAGCAATTCCCTCACAGTATTAATGTGTCCAGTAGCAATTCCCTCACAGTATTAATGTGTCCAGTAGCCATTCCCTACCAGTATTAATGTGTCCAGTAGCAATTCCCTCACAGTATTAATGTGTCCAGTAGCAATTCCCTCACAATATTAATGTGTCCAGTAGCAATTCCCTCACAGTATTAATGTGTCCAGTAGCCATTCCCTCACAGTATTAATGTGTCCAGTAGCCATTCCCTACCAGTATTAATGTGTCCAGTAGCAATTCCCTCACAGTATTAATGTGTCCAGTAGCCATTCCCTACCAGTATTAATGTGTCCAGTAGCAATTCCCTCACAGTATTAATGTGTCCAGTAGCAATTCCCTCACAATATTAATGTGTCCAGTAGCAATTCCCTCACAGTATTAATGTGTCCAGTAGCAATTCCCTCACAGTATTAATGTGTCCAGTAGCAATTCCCTCACAGTATTAATGTGTCCAGTAGCAATTCCCTCACAGTATTAATGTGTCCAGTAGCAATTCCCTCACAGTTTTAATGTGTCCAGTAGCAATTCCCTCACAGTATTAATTTGTCCAGTAGCAATTCCCTCACAGTATTAATGTGTCCAGTAGCAATTCCCTCACAGTATTAATGTGTCCAGTAGCAATTCCCTCACAGTATTAATGTGTCCAGTAGCCATTCCCTACCAGTATTAATGTGTCCAGTAGCAATTCCCTCACAGTATTAATGTGTCCAGTAGCAATTCCCTCACAATATTAATGTGTCCAGTAGCAATTCCCTCACAGTATTAATGTGTCCAGTAGCAATTCCCTCACAGTATTAATGTGTCCAGTAGCAATTCCCTCACAGTATTAATGTGTCCAGTAGCCATTCCCTACCAGTATTAATGTGTCCAGTAGCAATTCCCTCACAGTATTAATGTGTCCAGTAGCAATTCCCTCACAATATTAATGTGTCCAGTAGCAATTCCCTCACAGTATTAATGTGTCCAGTAGCAATTCCCTCACAGTATTAATGTGTCCAGTAGCAATTCCCTCACAGTATTAATGTGTCCAGTAGCCATTCCCTCACAGTATTAATGTGTCCAGTAGCAATTCCCTCACAGTATTAATGTGTCCAGTAGCAATCCCCTCACAATATTAATGTGTCCAGTAGCAATTCCCTCACAGTATTAATGTGTCCAGTAGCAATTCCCTCACAGTATTAATGTGTCCAGTAGCAATTCCCTCACAGTATTAATGTGTCCAGTAGCAATTCCCTCACAGTATTAATGTGTCCAGTAGCAATTCCCTCACAGTATTAATGTGTCCAGTAGCCATTCCCTACCAGTATTAATGTGTCCAGTAGCAATTCCCTCACAGTTTTAATGTGTCCAGTAGCAATTCCCTCACAGTATTAATTTGTCCAGTAGCAATTCCCTCACAGTATTAATGTGTCCAGTAGCAATTCCCTCACAGTATTAATGTGTCCAGTAGCAATTCCCTCACAGTATTAATGTGTCCAGTAGCAATTCCCTCACAGTATTAATGTGTCCAGTAGCAATTCCCTCACAGTATTAATGTGTCCAGTAGCAATTCCCTAACCCTGTGTTGTCTCCCCTTGTGGCAGCTCTCATCCCGCCGGACATGGTAGACTCCCACGGTGGTTTACCACCCCGGCCCGCCCACATCAAAGGTACGCTCATGCCAAGTGTTGAATTGTTTAACATACTGTTTAAATATATATTCTGTTTTTTTAATACCCTGGGCTGGCAGGTTGGATTTCATATTTGTTTATATTTCTGAATAGGTTACAAATGTCTATTATATAAAAACTTGTTTCTAATAATTTATATGACCATGAGATCATGGTAACCATGCTTCTTGTGGCTTGAGTTGGATTTGTTTGTTTGTTGTTTGTTGTTTGTTGTTTAATGCTGCACTCAGCAATATTCCAGCCATATGACGGCGGTCTGTAAATAATTGAGTCTGAACCAGACAATCCAGTGACTGACATCATGAGCATCGATCCACACAACTGGGATACGATGACATGCATCAACCAAGTCAGCGAGCCTGACCACCCGATCGCCTTTAATGGCAAGCATGGGTTGCTCATAGTAACCATACTTCTTGTGGCTCAGAGTAGGAGGAGACTGGAGACCAAGCTGGGGGCACAGGTGGCCCAGTCGTCTAAGGCGCCGCAATTCGCTGTACAGAGTTGCGTCCCTTGGGCAATTCTGGTTCGCCCTGATTATGTTTCTAGGTTTGTCAGCACCATACCCGTGCACGTGGGTTTCACGGAAGTGGTAAATGTCTAAGACCTGCATCACTTCGGGCTCTCCTCCCACATAAGCTGACACGCCGTGATATGACATGAGTACTGATAAAAGCGGTGTTAAACACAACTCACGCACTCTGTCCAGCCTACATGCAAAGTACAACTTATTGTTTAAGGTTAAGGTAACCTTTTCAACTTGTTTTTGTTTTTTTATAAAAAGTTCAAAAGAATAATAAATTAACAAATAATTTTGATTTTGATAAAGGCAATGACAATGTTAGTAGCCGTGTGTTTGTGCATCCCCCCTGCAGGGTGCCGGGGCCCAGGGGCCCAGGGGCCCAGTCGGCTATGCCTAAGGTTTATTAGAACTATTAGAATTTTAACCTGAAAAGTGAGGAGGTTGCATTTTGTTTTGTATTTCTTTCAACATGTTCAAAAAGAAATACACAATAACCCGATTTGTCGGTTGGCTCACATGTACTCAAAACTGAATCTGAGACAACCCATTTACAAATATGATGAGGCAATACGATGAGGCAATACAACGAGGCAATACAACGAGGCAATACGATGAGGTTGGTGTCTATGAAGACAGGTTTGATTCAGCTCCCAGTGCCAGACAAAGACTGCGGAGTTTGGTGTTTCTTACACGGTTTACAACGTCAAAGAAATGGAAACTGGCTTGATGCCAACATTTTAGTATGTTTTTGTTGCAATGCCATAAACACAATGTGTCTTCTCACTTGTGTGTTGTCATGCTGGGATACAAGCCTTGATAGTGTAACATGCAGTCTTCTAAATAAACTACGGGGATATTCTTGTGGTGTTTGGTTGTGTCATTCCACAACAGGGAGATTGTAACTGAATTATCTTGGTTGGTTGTTCCCCAGCATTGTAAATGCACTTGTTACCCTAAAAACTAATGTTAGTTGTTCCCCAGTGCTGTAAATGCACTGTTACCCTAACAACTAATGTTGGTTGTTTCCCTAGTGCTGTAAATGCACTGTTACCCTAACAACTAATGTTGGTTGTTTCCCTAGTGCTGTAAATGCACTGTTACATTAACAACTACTGTTGGTTGTTCCCCTAGTGCTGTAAATGCACTGTTACCCTAACAACTACTGTTGGTTGTTCCCCTAGTGCTGTAAATGCACTTGTTACCCTAACAACTAATGTTGGTTGTTCCCCAGTGCTGTAAATGCACTGTTACCCTAACAACTAATGTTGGTTGTTCCCCTAGTGCTGTAAATGCACTGTTACCCTAACAACTAATGTTGGTTGTTCCCCAGTGCTGTAAATGCACTGTTACCCTAACAACTAATGTTGGTTGTTTCCCTAGTGCTGTAAATGCACTGTTACCCTAACAACTAATGTTGGTTGTTTCCCTAGTGCTGTAAATGCACTGTTACATTAACAACTACTGTTGGTTGTTCCCCTAGTGCTGTAAATGCACTTGTTACCCTAACAACTAATGTTGGTTGTTCCCCAGTGCTGTAAATGCACTGTTACCCTAACAACTAATGTTGGTTGTTTCCCTAGTGCTGTAAATGCACTGTTACCCTAACAACTAATGTTGGTTGTTTCCCTAGTGCTGTAAATGCACTGTTACATTAACAACTACTGTTGGTTGTTCCCCTAGTGCTGTAAATGCACTTGTTACCCTAACAACTAATGTTGGTTGTTCCCCAGTGCTGTAAATGCACTGTTACCCTAACAACTAATGTTGGTTGTTCCCCTAGTGCTGTAAATGCACTGTTACCCTAACAACTAATGTTGGTTGTTTCCCTAGTGCTGTAAATGCACTGTTACATTAACAACTACTGTTGGTTGTTCCCCTAGTGCTGTAAATGCACTGTTACCCTAACAACTAATGTTGGTTGTTCCCCTAGTGCTGTAAATGCACTGTTACCCTAACAACTAATGTTGGTTGTTCCCCTAGTGCTGTAAATGCACTGTTACCCTAACAACTAATGTTGGTTGTTCCTAGGGCTTCCACGAGTCCAATTTTTTGGACTGGAGGACCCGAGGGGTGAAACTCGACTTGTACTCGAGTACCCGAAAATAGGACGTCCTTTAAGAATATTGGTTCATTTGATCAAAATTGCCATCTTAAAGTATTAAAACATGTTATAAGTATAATTGAACTGCACTGAAATGTAAATAGAGAGCGTCCACGGAACTTGTTTATCTGTCAAAGTGTATAGAAGTGTTCAGTGTTAATGTTTGCTTGTAACTGCACTAATCTTAATCACGACCTTCAAAAACATTACGCCACGTCTACAAATACTACAATACATACTGAACACAAACCAAGTTTGTTTTTTTCTGACAATCAGCATTTCATTCGACACCTGCCAACAAGCACGAACAATAATTAGCAGGAAGAAAATCGATAATGTGTATCACGTAACATACACGTATACACAGCTGCTGGGCTGCAAGACTAAGGCCGCTAAATATGGAAATGTAGTACTATAAGTTCATTCATTCATGAGTTGGTCACGTTTTCAAACTGTACCAAACTGTCGACCTGTCGCTTGATTTGTAAGCACTGAAGTAACACATATATATCAGCTAATCAGTTGTTAATCTGTGTAAGGGAATACACTTGGCATTTGAGTCGGAGCAAAGAAGCAATAATTGCCTTGATACATTCAATTTCTTAAAGTCGGGAAGGAAAAACAATAATTACGTCTATTTTATGTGACATTCTAAAGTGACATCTACTTTCTACAAAGAATACATTATTCAAACAATATTTTTTAAGCTTTAATCAATATATTGATGAACAATTGAACATTGAAACAGAGTGATCTCCCCTTATCGAGTACTCGAGTCCTTGATAACGGACTCGAGTCCCAGTAAAAACCGACCCGGCCCCGAGTACTTCGGTACTCGATGAAGCCCTAGTTGTTCCCCAGTGCATTTACAGCACTGGGGAACAACTAATGTTGGTTGTTCTCCAGTCTTGTAAATGCACTGTTACCCTAGCAACTAATGTTGGCTGTTCCCAAGGGGTTTCAAAATGCACTGTTACCGTAACAACTAATGTTGGTTGTTCTCCAGTGTTGTAAATGCACTGTTACCCTAGCAACTAATGTTGGCTGTTCCCAAGGGGTTGCAAAATGCACTGTTACCCTAACAACTAATGTTGGTTGTTCTCCAGTGTTGTAAATGCACTGTTACCCTAACAACTAATGTTGGTTATTCCCTAGGGTTGTAAATGCACTGTTACCCTAACAACTACTGTTGGTTGTTCCCCAGTGTTGTAAATGCATTGTTACCCTAAAAACTAATGTTGGTTGTTCCACAGGGTTGTAAATGCACTGTTTCCCTAACAACTAAAGTTGGTTGTTCCACAGGGTTGAAAATGCACTGTTTCCCTAACAACTAATGTTGGTTGTTCTCCAGTGTTGTAAATGCACTGTTACCCTAGCAACTAATGCTGGCTGTTCCCAAGGGGTTGCAAAATGCACTGTTACCCTAACAACTAATGTTGGTTGTTCTCCAGTGTTGTAAATGCACAGTTACCCTAACAGCTAAGTTTTTGTTATTCCCTAGGGTTGTAAATGCACTGTTACCCTAACAAATAATGTTGGTTGTTCTCCAGTGTTGTAAATGCACTGTTACCCTAACAACTAATGTTGGTTGTTCTCCAGTGCTGTAAATGCACTGTTACCCAAACAACTACTGTTGGTTGTTCCCCAGGGTTGTAAATGCATTGTTACCCTAAAAACTAATGTTGGTTGTTCCACAGGGTTGTAAATGCACTGTTTCCCTAACAACTAATGTTGGTTGTTCCACAGGGTTGTAAATGCACTGTTTCCCTAACAACTAATGTTGGTTGTTCCACAGGGTTATAAATGCACTGTTACCCTAACAACTAATGTTGGTTGTTCCACAGGGTTGTAAATGCACTGTTTCCCTAACAACTAATGTTGGTTGTTCCACAGGGTTATAAATGCACTGTTACCCTAACAACTAATGTTGGTTGTTCCCCAATGCTGTAAATGTACTGTTACCCTAGAACTTGTGTTGTAAATGCACTGTTACCCAAACAACTAATGTTGGTTGTTCCCCAGTGTCATGAATGCACTGACCACAAATAGCATATTGTCACATGACCCCTCCTTTAATTGAATGTGTTCAAAACCAATAACTTTTTATGGTTAATGTACTGTCAAATGTGTTTTGGATATTTTTGTTTTTTAAAACATCTTCAGAATTGTCTTCGCAATTTTATATTCGGAAAATCAAATCCCCAATTGTATTGTTTTTGACTGGTGAATACTGACATTTCTGAAGGACATATGTGTTTATTCACAGGACTGACATGGAGAAAGAAGATGTTCTTCCAAACAGAAAACCAAGTCTTGCCACAGCGGAGATGCGCTTCCCAACAGGCGGAGTCAAGCGTTACCGGCAGAATCGTGGTGGTGGTGGTGCTGCAGCTAAAATGCGAGGAGGTCGACCTATGCCTGTACTAAGTCAAGGTAGCAGGAATCTATCGGAGCGACCGTTTCTATTCTGCATCATGGCCTTGTACCATGTAGAGATCTTAGCACTACGACTGTCGTCACTCTCGTACTTGAACATAAACGTAGGCCTGTCTTAGCATTACTAGTCTCGTCACTCTCGTACTTGGACATTGACATAGGCCTGTCTTAGCACTACTACTCTCATACTTGAACATAAACGTAGGCCTGTCTTAGCACTACGACAGTCATCACTCTCATACTTAAAAATAAACGTAGTCCTGTCTTAGCACTACTACTCTCATCACTCTCATACTTAAAAATAAACGTAGGCCAGTCTTAGCACTACTACTCTCATACTTGAACATAAACGTAGGCCTGTCTTAGAACTACTACTCTGTCACTCTCATACTTAAAAATAAACGTAGGCCTGTCTAAGCTCTACTACTCTCGTCACTCTCGTACTTAAACATAAACGTAGGCCAGTCTTAGCACTACAACTGTTGTCACTCTCATACTTGAACATTAACGTAGGCCAGTCTTAGCACAACTGTTGTCACTCTCGTACTTAAACATAAACGTAGGCCAGTCTTAGCACTACAACTGTTGTCACTCTCGTACTTGAACATAAACGTAGGCCTGTCTTAGAACTACGACTGTCGTCACTCTCGTACTTGAACATAAACGTAGGCCTGTCTTAGCACTACTAGTCTCCTCACTCTCGTACTTGAACATTGACATAGGCCTGTCTTAGCACTACGACTGTCGTCACTCTCATACTTGAACATAAATGTAGGCCTGTCTTAGCACAACGACTGTGGTCACTCTCGTACTTGAACATAAACGTAGGCCTGTCTTAGCACTACGACTGTCGTCACTCTCATACTTGAACATAAATGTAGGCCTGTCTTAGCACAACGACTGTGGTCACTCTCATACTTGAACATAAATGTAGGCCTGTCTTAGCACAACGACTGTGGTCACTCTCATACTTGAACATAAACGTAGGCCTGTCTTAGAACAACGACTGTGGTCACTCTCGTACTTGAACATAAACATAGGCCTGTCTTAGCACAACGACTGTGGTCACTCTCAGTGGCGGGGTAAGAATCTACATCGAACGTCATTCATGCATTAAACCAGAAGTTATCATCAATATTGGTGTAAATAAAAATGATTAGGTATATACTGTGACATATATATGCATGCATGCACGCACGCACACACATGCCGCTTCACTCATTACCCACAGTATCTCAAGGAAAATTAAAAAATGGAGATAAATGTTTTCCATGTAGAGCTGTGTTCGCCATTCCAATAACGATGTCACCTCTTGCTTTGCCAGTGTCGAGCCAGCGATCTCAGGAGGCAGTCCTTGTTCACAGTCTGCAGGTCGAGATGGAAGGAACAAGGAACGCCGTCGAGACACTAGAACACCGCATTGACACCATGTCTCGCGAGGTCAAAACTATCAGTCAAAATGTGGACTATATACTGAAAGCTATCAACTCACTGTCAATGCCCTCTGAGTCACCTTCACCTTTTGGAAGGCATCATTTTTCTTACGGCCATTCACCTGACACAGACGCTTCATCGTTAACAGCGCAGGTGGGGTCTCGCCATAATAGTTACAGTGACAGTATACCCCATTGCCACCCTGGGCGGTCCTCACTCTCCCCGGCCTCCAGTGTTCATGGGAACAGCCCAGGGGAGGTAACTCATGGTGGCAAAGGGGGAAATGTGGATGCATTATCAATCAGGTCATTGAGGCATAAGAGACCTGACGATGCTTTAAACATTGCAGCCAAACAAAAACTAGGGCTACCATTTTCAGATCCAAATTATCGAAAAAATGACACTTTACATGAACTTCGACCTTCAACTAGTGCTTCTAAAGACAGTTTTCAGTGTCCGTCGGAAACAGGGGGTTCAACACCGAGTCCTGGTTTGCAGGAGAGGAGAGACTTTGCTGAATTTGATGGCAAAAAGGGCGTGGCATCAGCAGCTCCTCCCAGCCAATCAGAGGCAGTGTTTAACTTTGTCAACGAACTCACGGAGCCTAAAACAAAAATATTTGTCAGTCCTGAAGATGATTCACTTGAGACAACTGAACTGTGATACCTTGTGAGATGAGGTTCTGTGTCTAGATCAGTCCTGTTTGCATTCACATTTCCAGCCTCATTGTTAGAATTTCATCTTTGATTCTGACTGTCACCGAAGAGAGAGACGTTCTACAAGACACAGTTACGATGTTGCATAATGCCGGGAGATTATGAAGATATTAAATATGAACGACACTGTTATTCCAATTGGCACTTCATTCTTATTGTTCATGTTCTAATGCTGAAAATCCTTCTCTCAAGATCAGGCTTCTAGATGATCCTAGATGTGTTGAGTTGCTGCAGTTTTATGAAGAAGTATGTAAAGGTGCACTGTCAGATTTCCCTGTCTTCGTATCATTTTACGTGATATGGAAAAATTCCAATAGACCATCTATTTCTTTATTGAGTGGTTAATTCTAAGCAGACCTTCAGCTGAGACTTTGTGTACAACAGCATATCATACAGGTGATACAACTTCAGAGCTTGTCTGCACAAGCAGGGACTACTTTATAAACCTTTCACCCAGAGCAGGAAACTGTATGATGGTAGTTTAATTTAGCACAAAACCAAACATAATTTAAGTTGTAAGGCCAGACTGTTTTTTAAACTTTGTTTAGGAATCCGTAAATAATAAATAATTGTAAACAAATAATATAAAAAGGAAAAGCAGATGGGTTTTTTATTCTGCCAACCAGAAATAAGTAAAACGGTAAGACAATTTCATTTACTACCGCTGTCAATATAAATAAATGAGTGAAAATAGTATAATTAAACCTGTTGAGATTGTATCTAGAAAAAACCCGGTCCTTCTAGTTTTCTTCGTTTTTTCCTACCTACTTAACTTTTTAGGAAATTACAAAAAATATCTGAAATTGGAAAATGTTTTTTATAATTTTTCAACCGACGGACCCAAACTTTTGTCCCCAATATCCATAACCAAAAGAGAGAAAAAAAATGTCTGGCCTAACAGAATCTAATGTCTACATAAGAAGATTGAAAAAAACATAAGGTAGGAAACTGTGTCAGCCTTGTTTGTATACAGGTGGGTCTGTCTATACAACACTGCCATCAGCATGAACAATATTGTTGGTTACACTGCTGGGCATATCATTAGTCAGGCCATGTTGCAGATGATTGTTTGCCATATTGAATTTGTTGTATACTTACTTGACTGTTCGTGTCCCAGATGAGGTTTTTGTGATGGATAGTGTTACTGTTAATCTTCAGCTTGACATTCATCACAGTTTGTTTGAACTTTGAATGTATTTAGCATGAGTATGCCAGTTTGCTTCATGAAATAGTCAACATAAGACCTCAAATCAGAGGTGTTCCACACTTCATTAAATACTCATCATAAGACCTCACATCAGAGGTGTTTCACACTTCATTAAATACTCGTCAGAAGACCTCATATTAGAGGTGTTCACACTTCATGAAATACTCATCAGAAGACCTCATTTAGGAGGTTTTACAATATCACTTCCATTACAGTTTTCATTATGATAATTCAGCACGTTTATGTGTATGGCAAATGGCAGATGAGTCGACAAGCAGCATTGTGTGCTGTTATTACTGTGATGTCACAGCTACAGGATTTCAAGTTTTCTCCATAATTCTTTAGAAAAATCAAGTCAAGTCATCAAGATGTGTCATATTTTTTGTGTGTTTATGAAAGTTAATCATGCTTGTTAAATCTGCAGTGACTGCATGTTCTGTCCTCTTCATGTGAAATATTACAATCCTAGACCCTAGACCATTCCACCGAAACATGGACCTACCTACATTAATACTTCTCATCTCCCCTGACAACTTGTGCTATCCCAGTGGCTCTTCCGACAGATGACTCAGGTTAGGCTCTGCACAGTATTAAAATACAACCGTCCTATTTGGGATCTTGCAAAATTCGTTTCAGATTATCTGTGACAAAATTATTAACCTTTAATTGTTCATTTTACCATTTTGAAAACCATGGAAACTTGTGATTTGTTTGACAGATATCATGGCATACAGACCCCCTTTAACCAGCATCGCTGAGAACACTAAACCAACTTTCAACACTATATTCCAGGAAACTAATTGACTAAACTGACCATTACCTGATCCTGTGCTGAATGTGCTCTGATTCCTGCTGTGATGGGTCTTGTCAGGGCATCGTTCATTCACCCTCTGACATAACACAAATATTGAGGGTGAGGGGACCTCGGGTGGTCCAGTCTCTAAGGCAACGCAATTCACTGTACAGAGTTGTGTCCCTTGGGCATGCAAAAAAGCTATGATTGTTGTTTTGAGATTATGTTTCTAGGTTTGTCAGCACCATACCCGTGCTCTTAGGATTCACCAATGTGGAAAACATCTGTGACCTGCATCACTTCGGGCTTTCCTCCAGCATTAAGCTGACACGCTGTGATATTGCTGGAATACTGTTAAAAGCGGCGTTTAACCCAACTCACTCACTCACTCACTTACTCACACAGGGTAGACTAAAGTAACCCAGTGTAAAACCTCCATCAAACATGTCCAATATGTTACAGTATTGAATTTCAAATTTCCAAGTTCTTTTTACAAGCTTAACAAAATAGTTGATTCATTAGCTCAATACTTCATTCATTCAATACTTACAACTTGCACTGTTTACTTGGTATGCTTAATGCTAAAGCATCCATAAGGTTGTGAATCAAACAATAACTTTACTGAACAACAAATTTCTATTTTAAAATATTTGGTCCAAAATAAAGGAACATGACAGTCTTTTTTTCTTTCTTTTTGTAAAGTACAAGTGTATATGTTAACACACAGTACAACTGTATACATTAACACAGTACAAGTGTATACGTCAACACACAGTACAAGTGTATACGTTAACACACAGTACAAGCTTATACATTAACACACAGTACAAGTGTATACATTAACACACAGTACAAGTGTATACATTAACACACAGTACAAGTGTATACGTCAACACAGTACAAGTGTATACGTTAACACAGTACAAGTGTATACGTCAACACAGTACAAGTGTATACGTCAACACAGTACAAGTGTATACGTCAACACACAGTACAAGTGTATACGTCAACACACAGTACAAGTGTATACATTAACACACAGTACAAGTGTATACATTAACACACAGTACAAGTGTGTACGTCAACACACAGTACAAGTGTATACGTTAACACAGTACAAGCTTATACATTAACACACAGTACAAGTGTATACATTAACACACAGTACAAGTGTATACATTAACACACAGTACAAGTGTATACGTTAACACAGTACAAGTGTATACGTCAACACAGTACAAGTGTATACGTCAACACAGTACAAGTGTATACGTCAACACACAGTACAAGTGTATACGTCAACACACAGTACAAGTGTATACATTAACACACAGTACAAGTGTATACGTCAACACACAGTACAAGTGTGTACGTCAACACACAGTACAAGTGTATACGTCAACACACAGTACAAGTGTATACGTTAACACACAGTACAAGTGTACATGTTAACACACAGTACAAGTGTATACATTAACACACAGTACAAGTGTATACATTAACACACAGTACAAGTGTATACATTAACACACAGTACAAGTGTATACGTCAACACAGTACAAGTGTAAGTTAACACACAGTACAAGTGTATACGTCAACACAGTACAAGTGTATACGTTAACAAACAGTACAAGTGTGTACGTCAACACAGTACAAGTGTGTACGTCAACACACAGTACAAGTGTATACGTCAACACACAGTAAAAGTGTATACGTTAACACACAGTAAAAGTGTATACGTTAACACACAGTACAAGTGTATACGTCAACACACAGTACACAGTACAAGTGTATACGTTAACACACAGTACAAGTGTATACATCAACACACAGTACAAGTGTATACGTTAACACACAGTACAAGTGTATATGTCAACACACAGTACAAGTGTATACGTCAACACACAGTACAAGTGTATACATTAACACAGTACAAGTGTATACATTAACACACAGTACAAGTGTGTACGTTAACACACAGTACAAGTGTATACGTCAACACAGTACAAGTGTATATCTTAACAAACAGTACAAGTGTATACGTCAACACACAGTACAAGCTTATACATTAACACACAGTACAAGTGTATACGTCAACACACAGTACAAGTGTATACGTCAACACAGTACAAGTGTATATCTTAACAAACAGTACAAGTGTATACGTCAACACACAGTACAAGCTTATACATTAACACACAGTACAAGTGTATACGTTAACACACAGTACAAGTGTATACGTCAACACAGTACAAGTGTATACGTCAACACACAGTACAAGTGTATACGTTAACACACAGTACAAGTGTATACGTTAACACACAGTACAAGTGTATACATTAACACACAGTACAAGTGTGTACGTCAACACAGTACAAGTGTATATCTTAACAAACAGTACAAGTGTATACGTCAACACAGTACAAGTGTATATCTTAACACACAGTACAAGTGTATACGTCAACACAGTACAAGTGTATATCTTAACAAACAGTACAAGTGTATACGTCAACACAGTACAAGTGTATATCTTAACACACAGTACAAGTGTATACGTCAACACAGTACAAGTGTATATCTTAACAAACAGTACAAGTGTATACGTTAACACACAGTACAAGTGTATACGTCAACACACAGTACAAGTGTATATCTTAACAAACAGTACAAGTGTATACGTTAACACACAGTACAAGTGTATACGTCAACACACAGTACAAGTGTATACCTTAACACACAGTACAAGTGTATACGTCAACACACAGTACAAGTGTATACGTTATCACACAGTACAAGAAATACTCACTTTAAAATACTCAACCCAGTAAACTTTCTACATATTTTGGAAAATAAGATATTTACAAAATTTGAAGATGTGTCATAAAGATGTTATAAATGTGTGTGGGAACATTTCACTTCATCTTATTCTTCTTTGATGTTAGATGTCAGGTCCATTTGGATTTATAAAATGTTGTCATGGTTACTGTAAGTCGTTAATGATGTCACAGTTTTGAAAGTAATATCTAAGTTGTCTTTCCCACTGGTTGATCATGTCAAACACGTTTGGGAGAGATAAAGTTTTTGGCTTGAAGTAATAATGAAAGAGTCAGTGGACTAAATTGTTAGCATATAAGATTTTATGTGTGCTTCCAGCTATGGCTGACTTGGCACATCATACATGAGTACTAAAGCATGAACATAAAAGATGAGTTATCACCCTGTCAGATATACGTGATTATTGTCAAAAGTACTTGTGTATGTGGTCCTAACATGGTATGCCCCAATATAAACTATCATTATACTCAACAATACAAGGGCAGTGAGGAAGTGGTTACCTCACTCACTCAACACTGAAAACCTATACGTAGCAGTTGCCTTTCTGGCTACATTACGGTATCAGAGATGCCACCATGTCCATGTCCATTTCGATTTATTATTCTTGTAGGTTTTTATTGTTTGTTACAACAGTTGTTCTATAGAGACATGTGACGGCCCTGAACATAGACTTCCTGTCCATGGGACCACCTGGTTAAATATAAACAAACATTTTGTGGTCAATAATAAAGGTAAAATGATACCAGTTGGTCATAAATATGTCTTTAGAAATCCATTTTCTGCACACTAAGTAGTCTCCAGTTTTTCCAGATAATAACAATGCCTGATACATCCTGTTACCATCCTTACTATCCTGTTATCATCGTTACTATCCTGTTACCATCGCTACTATCCTGTTACCATCCTCACTATCCTGTTACCATCCTATGTCCATGTACCTGTTACCATCCTATGTCCAGGTAAACAGGCTATTTTATCTCATGCATTACTATATGTCAACTATATCTACTTCGGTTCATCAGATTACGCTGAAGCAATTCACTGTGCAGAGTTGCTTAACATGATCCTATGATTGTGGTTTGGAGTTTTATTCTTGGTTTGTCAGCACCCTGCATTTGATTTCACCAAAGTTGTCAACTAAGACCCTTCACATGAAACTGATTCACAGGCATGTAAATGAAATAGTGTTAAGGGGATGTTAAATCAACCTCACTCATTCACTCATTAATAGCTGAAGTCACTCTCAAGAACCTGACCAAGTCTAAAGGGTTATGGGCCATAGGCAACACTATTACAACATCAACATGACAGCCTGTTGGGTGACATCCTGCCTGTTGCAGACAACCAGTGGTTGGTAGTACGAGCACCAACTGATGTCACTTTGTCTTCCAGCTACGACAAAGTCACAAGTAGACAGGTATACAAACCACTGCTTACTACATGAAAACAACTCTGTCTGGATAAATGAACAAACAGTCTGGAAAAGTGAGTTTCATCCCTTGTGCAGAGGTCACTTTCAAGCATGACACCTCTTCTGAATGGCATCTTCATTAACAGTCATTTTGAAACAGTATTTATTTAATTGTTTTGTTTTCTAGGAAATACTGTTTTAATTTAAAGTATTATGTATAGAAATATCTGTTTATGGTTATTAATGGCACTGTTTTCCAAGTTGTTCCTGAGTGTTGGCAACTATGTTGTGGTGACATTTGACCCCTGGGTAATGTTTGTCCCGTTTCTTGCATGGCGGGGCTGGCGGAGGGCAGGTGCTGCCCACGGAGAACACGCTCAACAGGGATCTACACTCTGCAGACACACTACAGACACTACAGACACAATACAGATGTTCTACAGACGCTCTACAGTGATCTACGAAATACTCTCTTCAGATGCTCTACACTCTACAGAAACACTACAGACGCTCTACAGTGATGTACACTCTACAGACACACTACAGACGTTCTACAGACGCTCTACAGTGATCTACGAAATACTCTCTACAGATGCTCTACACTCTACAGAAACACTACAGACGCTATACAGACACTCTACAGTGATCTACACTCTACAGAAACACTACAGACGCTCTACAGACGCTCTACAGACTCTCTACAGTGATCTACACTCTACAGAAACACTACAGATGCTCTACAGACTCTCTACAGTGATCTACACTCTACAGAAACACTACAGATGCTCTACAGACTCTCTACAGTGATCTACACTCTACAGAAACACTACAGACGCTATACAGACACTCTACAGTGATCTTCACACTACAGACACTCCACAGACACAGTCCCTAAAGACATTCTACAGCCCCCTCTGCACCAATCCCACGCCACCCCACTTGGAGCCCTACCCACTCCACATCTAGCCCTACCCTCCCCACTTGGAGTCCTACAACACTCCACTTGGAGCTCTACCCTCCCCACTTGTAGTCCTACAACACTCCACTTGGAGCTCTACCCTCCCCACTTGGTGCCCTACAACACTCCACTTGGAGCTCTACCCTCCCCACTTGGTGCCCTACAATGCTCCACTTGGAGCTCTACCCTCCCAACTTGGTGCCCTACAACACTCCACTTGGAGCTCTACCCTCCCCACTTGGTGCCCTACAACGCTCCACTTGGAGCCCTACCCTCCCCACTTGGTGCCCTACAACACTCCACTTGGAGCTCTACCCTCCCCACTTGGAGCCCTACCCTCCCCACTTGGAGCCCTACAACACTCCACTTGGAGCCCTACCCTCCCCACTTGGAGCCCTACAACACTCCACTTGGAGCTCTACCCTCCCCACTTTGAGCCCTACAACACTCCACTTGGAGCTCTACCCTCCCCACTTGGTGCCCTACAACGCTCCACTTGGAGCCCTACCCTCCCCACTTGGAGCCCTACAACACTCCACTTGGAGCCCTACCCTCCCCACTTGGAGCCCTACAACACTCCACTTGGAGCCCTACCCTCCCCACTTTGAGCCCTACAACACTCCACTTGGAGCCCTACCCTCCCCACTTGGTGCCCTACAACACTCCACTTGGAGCTCTACCCTCCCCACTTGGTGCCCTACCCTCCCCACTTGGAGCCCTACAACACTCCACTTGGAGCCCTACCCTCCCAACTTGGAGCCCTACAACACTCCACTTGGAGCTCTACCCTCCCCACTTGGAGCCCTACAACACTCCACTTGGAGCTCTACCCTCCCCACTTGGAGCCCTACAACACTCCACTTGGAGCCCTACCCTCCCCACTTGGAGCCCTACAACACTCCACTTGGAGCTCTACCCTCCCCACTTGGTGCCCTACAACGCTCCACTTGGAGCCCTACCCTCCCCACTTGGTGCCCTACAACACTCCACTTGGAGCTCTACCCTCCCCACTTGGAGCCCTACCCTCCCCACTTGGAGCCCTACAACACTCCACTTGGAGCCCTACCCTCCCCACTTGGAGCCCTACCCTCTCCACTTGGAGCTCTACCCTCTCCACTCTGAGCCCTACCCTCCCCACTTGGAACCCTACCCACTCCACTTGGAGCTCTACCCTCCCCACTCTGAGCCCTACCCTCCCCACTTGGAGCTCTACCCTCCCCAGTCTGAGCCCTACCCTCCCCACTTGGAACCCTACCCACTCCACTTGGAGCTCTACCCTCCCCACTTGGAGCCCTACAACACTCCACTTGGAGCTCTACCCTCCCCACTTGGAGCCCTACAACACTCCACTTGGAGCTCTACCCTCCCCACTTGGAACCCTACCCTCCCCACTTGGAGCCCTACAACACTCCACTTGGAGCTCTACCCTCTCCACTTGGAGCCCTACAACACTCCACTTGGAGCTCTACCCTCCCCACTTGGAGCTCTACCCTCCCCACTTGGTGCCCTACAACACTCCACTTGGAGCTCTACCCTCCCCACTTGGTGCCCTACAATGCTCCACTTGGAGCTCTACCCTCCCCACTTGGTGCCCTACAACACACCACTTGGAACTCTACCCTCCCCACTTGGAGCCCCTCCATGGAGCCCTACCCTCTCCAGGCTCCGCCATTCAGATGAAGTATTTCCATGGTGCTACTCCGTGTATATAGTAGGACGTTGTATTGTCAGTACAACTGTTTCTAATGTTTCAATTTTACATATTTATGTTGTGGTGTATGTCTATTTTAGGTTTCCAGATTTATTAATGTTAGGTACTGATAAACAGTTTTGACTACAAATACTACCACTCAACTTTTGTTGGAGATACTGAGATATTTCACACTATTTACACATGTACATATCTACTGACAAACAGCTGCACAGTGGCATTAAACCCAACTCACTACAGCTGCTACAATGTCTATAGATATGTTCCCTTATTTTAAGCCATCAGTATACTTGCAATTCAAAATCTCTGGTACCTAAATACTAAAAGTTTGTACCGAGTCAATGATCCTAAGGCTCCACTCAGTACATAACCGACAACTCAGGAGAACAAATTATATCATCCCACCAATCTCGTTTACATACTCATTTTTCCTATCACTTTAAGTTTCGTTACGGATGCGCAGTGTTATATTCCTTTAAACACTGTAACTGCAAATTCAGATCATTCAGTCATGTGTACTTCATCATCCCGAGGCAAGAGCGTCTACTAGACTGTTCACCAGAGTCTTGTTTCCACCCTTGCCACATCAAGCCCACTTTCCTCTGCTAAATATTAATTGGACTATCGCACATAATCAAAATCCACGACTGGTACACTTTCTTATGAAAATGATTTACCGCTGCCTGTCTTTGTTGACATGAACATGTCTTTCTCATCTTTTAAGCCCCCCAACGATTGGATGAAATTGTGAATGTTTTTGTTATCAGTTCGACGAGGTTGTCGCCTATGATAGTCGCCATCTTTGTGAAGCTATACGAGATGAGAACAGCGATCTGATTGGATATTGCGTTTTCATTACAAGGGGCACAACTCGTGATCCACGCGACGTGGTGCCAGGGTCGAACCAAGAAAAGTTGCCTTGTTGTGGCAAGGGTAGAAAGTAGGCTTTGGTGTAGGCTAGTGGACACGCTTGCCTCGGGAAGATGTGTGTATCTGCAACTGAAGACGTCCCCCTCCTTAACATCCCAGCGGAGGACTTGAACAAGCAGCCATCGTCTGATGTACAACAGGTGCTAGAATCAAGAAAACAACCCAAAATATACAGTGGTAGTAGTAGTAGATTTACGTTTCAATACAATAAGTCATAATACACAGCACACTCGCTCCAGTGAAGATCGTGGTTAGAATTGGTCTTGGTCAACCCATGCTTGTTGCAAGAGGTGACCAATCGGTTGGTCAGGCTCACTGACTTGGTTGATGCATTCAATATATCCCAATTGCGCAAATCGATGCTCATAATACCATTCACTGGATTGTCTGGTCCAGACTTGCTTATTCACAGACCCGCATCATATACCGGCAGCTGAAATATTGCTGAGTGGGGTGTTACACAACAAACAGCACAACTGAACTCTGAACCCGTGAAACAAACCGAGTTGTGTCCACCTGGAAGAATCCTTGGTCGTGCATCCCTGGTAGGTCACCCTCACCTAGACAGACACCAGTCATATCCTGTGTCATCTGTCTAGTCTCTTACCTTGTATGTTTACTTGAGTTATAGTTTATTTACATTTGCAAAGCCTTATGTTTTGGCACAGTGTGATATATTTGTTTGTTACGTTGAAATGTATTTTTCAATGACCTGGTTATTATTCTCTGTGATGGTGTCATGATTGTTGATTGATAAAATCAAGATTTATGTAGAAAATAATAAATTACTCCGAACATGAGATTACTGAAATGTGAAAATCAGATGACATGTTCTCATTCAACTCTTGCACTGCAATTTCTGTCCATAACTGTCTAATTAAAAACTTACATGGAGATCTACAATATATACTTAATACAAACTGGTTGGAAAACCTTCCATGATATGCCGGCAAGCCTCTATGCTTCTTAGGGCCTCCCACATTTAGCACCTTGTGATATACAAAAAAAACACTGTTTAAACTGGCATTAAACCCAACTCACTCACTCACTATCCTCATTGCCTGTCTCGTGTTCCCGGATGTCTCAGCCAAGTCATTACACACTAAACACATGCATGCAAGAATATAAGGCTATCTGAAAATATCTTGCACTAAAGTTTCTGTCACTTCCCAGACCAAGTTTGAATCCACTAATGCTTCTGTTAATTGATGAACAAACATTAATCAATATCCACAGCACTGATGTTTGAATGTTCTAGAAGGACAAAATGCAATTCTGGGAAAGGGTACAATTGATGAAATGAATGTCAAGGTTTTTCTTCTACTTATGTGTAGTTAGCCCAACCAGTGCTGGTCCATCCATAGACCTAAGCAGCATACACAGGTGATATCTACCAACAGATGCCTGTGTTGTCCACTGACATGTACAGTTATCTATACCAACACGCACTTGTTATCTACTGACTTGTCACAAAATACATCCAGGGTCGTCTCTACACCTCTGTATCAACTGTGTTCCTGCTCAGTAACCCACCTGCACCCAGGTTGCCTAGCAACAGGTATAAACAATCTGAGACTCACGTTGAGGTTCCAATTGTGTTTGTTTCAATTTGGTAATTTTGAGGCAATACTTTAAAGGTGGCCATTGATTGTTAATTCCAAGCTCTGCCTCTGCTTGCATTGTCCTGCTGTAATCTGGTAGGATATACTTATATAACACGATGTCAAGTACTCAAAGTGAATTCCATTGTAATATATTCAGGTCATGTGTTACTTTAGATCTTCCAGCCTTTGAGTATCTCTTGATGACAACCTTTAATGATGTTACTTTTAAAGCCAGATATTGTTTCCAAACAGTGGTAAACTATTGTCCTAAAAACAGTCATCGTAAACAGGTTAATATTGTATGAACAAAATGGTGACTTTTAAGAACACTGGGAATTGTACAGGGCATGCTTATGCACTAGCTTACGTTATTGATGAACAGTAAAGTTAAGAATTGAGCAATTGTACCCATTCCTAGTCCGCCTCTTCTGTAGGATGGCCTTGGGTCCACCTGTTCTTGTTTCTTGTTGATCTGGAGATGTCATGTTTGCTGTTGACCTTTACGACCACAAGGTCGGCCATTGTTTAACAAGTCTGTGACAACCCTACATTCACCCAATCTGTATATGGTCATTTTTACAATGGTATTAAACCTGATTATCAAAATAACAACTTCTGTGGATGTTTTTATTTTAGAATTGTCAATTGTATTGGTGAATTTTGATTCCTGAAATTGGGGCTGTTTCATGGTGCTAAAAAGAGTTGACCAACTTTACAAGAGTGCTAACATAGGTTTAAAAGACAGTTTACCAACTTTACAAGAGGACAAACGCTGAAATGCTACCAGGAGAATAACAACCAACTTTACAAGAATTCTAGCAGTGTCGTATAAAAGTCAGTTTTCCCTTTTTTTCAAGAGAGCTATAAGCAGTAATAACATTACACAAATCCCATAATTAAAATTCTGATCAAAAATGGATTTTCAAATTTACTAAGAATTCTTTATAAGACTAAATGTAGCACCATAGAAAGAAACTGATTATTTACAGGCCGCCCTATTATATAGCTGCGGTGTTAAACAACAAAATCTCTCTCTCTCTCTCTCTCTCTCTCTCTCTCTCTCTCTCTCTCTCTCTCTCTCTCTCTCTCTCGACTAAATGTTTGGGTGTGTTTATGAGCGATGTTCCTGTATATTGTTAATGTGCAACATGAAAAACAGGCAAACTAAGACATATTTTCGCAATACAAATAAACATAATTTAGAAGAGAAACAAAAGAATGTGATGAAAAAGGAAAGCATAAAACAAATCCCGATACTTTATTATAAAGGCAATTGTGAAATATGTAAATATGACAAACGGATAGAATACAGAGCGAAGTATCCTGAACACTTCACAGAAAAGGAGAACTGTTTTACCATGGTAACAGATATATAAAACAAAAATGTTTTAATGAATTTATTGATTTCAAAATGTTAACAGAAATGTCAAATAGGAACTTTCACACAGCGCATTTGTTCAATATACTGCAAGTATTTGTTCCATGCTTTAGCTTCATGTATCCTCCCTCACCGATCGATTTTATTTTCAGGCCGGCGTAATATAGCTGAAATAATGCTCAGCGCGGTGATGATTATCGAACAAACATATTTAGGCCGTTGATATCGATGACTGTCTTCGTGGTTTTGAAATTCACAAGTCACGAAACGATGAGTAAATTCACTGAAGCGTCGTAAAATAACACTGATATTCCACTTTCTCCAGTATGGGTCCGTGAGTTGACACACTCACTTCTTGAAATCACCTTGAATCAGGGTTAAATGCGCGTGTTTACACATTTTGTTTTCATATAGCCACACATATGCCCGGTAGAAGTATATGGTCTACATTTGAAATTGTGATTGTATTTCATGTTAAGAGCAGTGGGCAGAATATACATTGGGGCACTCTCATTTTTGACGACAAACGCCGCGGAACGTGTAAAACTGTCGACACATTGACGTATGCATAACGTCAAAGGAAGGATATCAACTGTGAAACATATCATTCCGGCGTTGACTGAAGAGATTTAGAGGTTTGTTTTGGGTAAAAACAGCAAGTGAGAGAAATGGTTGTATTAACATGGGGAAATATTTCAGCTACATAACGGCAATATCAACGCGGGAGACATCAGATATTGCCCATCTGGAGTCATGACTTGTATTTCCGTGTCGCATCACATCGGCTCTTCCGCATGACGATTTAATCCTCGACGGGAGTCTATGTTACAAACGTCCCAGCAACCTGTTTGCTTGTCGTATCAGAGGAGACTTCCAGATGGGGTATACTGGCTGCTGGCGTGTGTGATGATTGAGCGTTACTAAGTTCTGGTCATATTAGGTGAGGTGCATGTACGTGTGTGTGTTTGTGTGGCTGCTTGTACTAGTCCAGACTGATGCCGATTTATAGTGCTAGCTCACTGAGATACCATGCCGCAGTTTAACATGAATACCCCACTCATGCAGACGTAGTATACTGACTCCGAGCCGACCAGTCCTTGTTTTAGCCCCTTAATGCCGAGCGCCAGACAGGGTAACAACAAATACCATCTTTTAACGTCTTTTGGTATGACGCGGCCGGGGACCTTCCGCTCTCCGGGCGGACTCGGGACATATTAAATAGTTCAGTCTATATATCGTTATCGATAAGACGGTGAGTATATTTCACACAAGGTAAAAGGTATAACATGTGACGGTCATTGCTTGGTCGCACCATTTGCAGAGCGTGTTGGTAGTGCGATATAGGAAATACAACACGCAAGATCGGGAGTGGTCCGAAGAAATTGACAAATATAGCGTATGTGTGATGCATGGTGTATATAGTCGCTTTGACCTTGCTCTTTTCTCACCATATATTGATTCTAAATAACAAAATGCATGTCCTATTTGGTTCATAATGCCTGACTGGGAGATTTAAAACTCAATACAATGAACTTATTCGGATGTTTCCAATCCAACGATGTTTCTAGATTGGATATAGAAATCTGCAGTCAAAACAAGCTAATAAAAGAACATAGGACACTAATTCCAAGCGCTGTCATTAAAAGCATCCGTGGATCGTTTTACATACACATATTTCCTCTGTCATAGTCTAACACACATGGACTCATCTAACCCCCCAGTATGGTGACAGTATGCTCAGCGTGCAAATAATAAACATTACAAACGCACAGACATTTTTAATGTAGACTGTTCCTTATATAACTCTCCCGTTTATTGTCCGCCGACACTGCAAGGTCGTGTCAGAATGAGTAGCGCGTGTGTTGAAGGCTGGTCTCGTGTGAGGATTCTGGGTCTGGATCGATGTCAGCCGAGCGTGTTGTTTGTTTGTTGTTTAACGCCGCACTCAACAATATTCCAGCTATATGACGGCGGTCTGTAAATAATCGAGTCTGGACCAGACCATCCAGTGATTGATATCATAAACATCGATCCACGCAATCAACCATGCATCAACCAAGTCAGCGAGTCTGACCACCGGATCCCGTTAGTCGCCTTTTACGACAAGCACAGTCACCTTTTACGGCAAGCATGGGTTGCTGAAGACATATTCTATCCCGGATCTTCACGGGACGTCAGCCGAGTGACACCTGCACTTTGATGAGACACATACGTGCAGGGTTAAGTTTGATATGAGCGCTTATACATACAAGTCCGCTGCACGCATACTACAAACGGTACATCGCCCATCCCTGTCTAACCACAAACATTGTCCATAACAACTGTAAACGTGTACCTGCAATAGTGGATGGGATCTGGCAAATGGCTACAAAATATCACATCTGGAAACTTTGTGAACAATGCGATCAAGGTATTTGGACCGCGGCGAGGCAAACTTTAAGAAACATAGTTTTACTTATTGTGTTTTGTCATGAGGTGTATATGTTCAATATTGTTCATATACCATAGGGTTTTTAACACCAATATGATTCTTGTGTTTTATAGTTTTTGGGGTGCCGATTTCTAAATTTCAAATTAATGTATTTAGCTGCAAAATTTCGTTCCCGGCAACAAACAAAATGCCGAGCAAAGTCCAAGAAAATAGAAAATGAGTTAAACTCTTTTAACTCTTTAAAATTAGTCATGGTTGGTTTGTTGTTTTATGCCGCACTCAGCAATATTCCAGCTATATGACGGCGGTCTGTACATAATTAAGTCTGGACCAGACAGTCCAGTGATTGATATCATGAGCATCGGTCCATGGAAAATGTATCATCATCCGTCAACTAACATATCTTTAAAAAACAAAAAGATATTCAGAATATTTTTTTTCATAATTTACCAAATAAATGTTTTTATAAAGTTTAACCCGCGGCACTTATTGTAAACGAGAAAAATCTTATGAACGAATAATTGTTTGTTTATGTAAATGTGTGTGGTTCAAAACCATTCTCGTTGTGGTCGGTTTGTCCTTTCATATAGATATAGATCTAAAAACTATTAATAATTTAATGTACATTTATCGTTACATATTTGTAAACAGAGAAAAATAAATAATTGGCCCATGTAACTGACGAATCACTGTGTTCAACTAGAAAACAACCGGATGTTGCGCTTTCATCGAGTTGTTGTTCGTCGTTAGGGAAATAATATGACCTTTCCCCGGAAGCGGCTCTTGAGTGGTTCGCCGAGCGTAAACAGTGTAAGACGTTCGAGGATCTAGCAGGTATCTGTAGAACGGAGCTATTATCCGTGTCACGCTGTTGTCTGTTTCAGCTCGGTTTCAAGGTGAGCACTTGATATAAAGGCATGTTAATTTATCGAGTTTCCTTTCTGAAATAATTAGCATTATAGACAAACTCTTGTGCAATTGACAAGGGGAAGCTGCGGTACTTTTCCAAACAACGGGCTTAATCGAGTATTGCGAAATACTACAATGTATGGCTGTTATTATGGGACTTGCATGATTTCAACATATGTATTTCACTAACGATCACGTAGCCTACCAGTACAGGCATTTGCGCAGTGCGAATTGTCTAAGGGATTCTAACGACAGTGACAACGCCCGGAATTTATTAAGGTAGGTATCATTTTTCTCTACACTACAAGGCTCTCGCGTTGAAGCAAGAAAATGGTCGTCATTCATCGTCTGTTGTGACTTTAGTTGTATACTACCTTTCTTAGCAATATTACCTTATATATATACCTTCCACTTTTGTGTCAATCTCCATTGCATTGTAAATCTTCTCTTTGCAGTTTATATTGGGGGGGGGGGGGGGGGCAAAAATGTGAGAAAATCGTGTGGGCAGTAAAACAAAACAAACTAAATTGGGTCCTAAACATGCTAAATTCTAGATGAGGTATGTGGACCTGTGCAAGCATGAAGGTCACAACTCAGGGGAAGTTGAGCAATAATGCTCACAGTGAGTGTATGGATGGGCGGCATTGTGTGCCAGCTTGACCATGACCAGCTTCTAGAGCTTTGGTGCTGCCCCACACTATAGCACATATTACATGTGGTGTCCTTAGGCAAGTTACTTTGTTGGAAACATGCCTAGCGCCTATCCTAACCCAGCAGTGAATGGGTACCTAGTAGGATGAGAAGGTATGTGACTGTTAACCTCGTAGGCAGCTTAGATTGTGTACTCCCCAGGGGTTGTTGGGTAAAACGGCACCTCAGGAAAATGTGACTGGGCACCGATTGGCGAAAACGTCACCTTGCCAAAAGCGAAAACTGCACCTTAGGGTTTTTTTTATCTTGGTACTGAAATAAATGAAATTAAATTCACATTGTCACTTAAAAACACCAATAATTGTGAAATGTTAAGACAACTAGTTGGGAACTAACAAATTATTATTGTTCTGTGTTCAATATTGCTGTCAGGACCGGCTGAATAACTGTGAATAACTGGAAGACAGTGACAATGTAAATAAATCATATCCAACATAACATCATAAACAGTGTTCGTAATACCTGCCTGCCCGACCGTCCGAGACGGGTTGATTTCAACTCGGGCTGCCAGATTTTCAAATCCCCCTGCCCGACGGTCGGGTTATATTTCATATGTGAAAATATTCAAAATATTTCCCGATGATAAGCATTAATTCACATGTAAAGATGAAGGATAAAATGTAACCAAAAAGAAACCCCGTTAGCTTATCCTGAGAAACATGATTATAGTGGGCAGGCAGGTTTTGGTCAGGGCTGGCAAGTTTTTCAGCTAGCCAGTCCTGTGGTCTGGCTGAAATTTTTGGGAGTTTCATACCCTGTCATAAAGCGTACTTCATACTTCAACATAAATTGTTCTTATCGTTGTTAAAAATAGAGGTGCTGTTTTCGCCGAATGAGAAATCAGTGATATTTTGCTGATGTGCCGATTTATCCTGCGAATGAGAATGAAAGTCAAGTGCACTCTGATCCACTGACTGGAAAAGTAATAATATTGTGCCATGAGAATTTACTTTGGGTGCAATTTGACTTATTATTATTAGACAAAACAGACACATTGAAACTGAATTGACTGCACACACACAAACACATCTCTAAAACCTTTTTCTGCCATTGAACTTTTGAACTCTTGGTGGAAGGGAGGAAAATAATATTGTTCATTTCCCCACAGATACCCTTAAAATTTAGACCAATCCAACTGACAGCAGTGTATTGTTTACTTCTTTTTTCGCAAAGTAGAGATAATTTATTATAACAACTTCTTTATTTACCGTTAATGCAATGTTTCGGTATAGATTCTTATACTGTTGTCAAGCAAGGCTGAATAATGAAAATGGTACAGAATATATCCAGTAGTGGGGGATTAACAGTCACAACAATTGCATACATGAGAGAGATTACCATGAGTAGGCTAGGTAATGACAACAGAAGGATAATACTGGAACAACAGGATGGACAGAGAAAACATGACAAGGAAACCAATAACACAGGAAGCCCATAAAACAGGATTAAGGTGTACATAGGTGGGGTGATTATTGCTCAATGAGTTCATAGTAGGCAGATGGGATGAAATAGCCTTGATCTCTAGTGATTGATAGCTTTTGGTGTGAAGGTAGACTGCTTCTGTTAGTTTTCTTTTAGTGAAGTCATGGAGGTTGTTGGCGAGGATTTGGACATTTTCCCAGTTGATGTTGTGATTAGGGCCGTTGCTGATATGGTCTGAGATGTTCGGATTTCAATCACCCCTAAGGGCACACTCTCTGATTGGTTGGTAAGAGTACAATATAGCCAATTGCACCACATACTCTAAAAGGTCATGTGAGATCACACTGGCTGCACAAAACTGATGGTATTCGTTTGATTTCAGCCTAGAAAATATAGAAATCAATTCATATTCAAGCTGGGAAATGTCACAGAGATACGAGACTTGACTTGACACACAATTCCTGCTTAATCATGATAATTAACGCAATAATTTCTAATTTTCTAAAATACTCTTTGCCTGTGATTCTGTCGGACAAAAATCATCAGTCACACTAGGGCCGGATGATTTTTGACAGGGTAGGTAACTTTTGGAAGGTAACTGTCCTTTCATACGCCCAATATAGTTACATTGTTCTCAATTTACACGCATGTTGCAAGGACACTAACTTGCAAACATAGAAAACTTATCACCACTGAACACAGTTTTTTTAAATATATAATTTTTTATTTTAGAAAATATCATGATTCTTGGATCATGTAGATGATCCATGCTCGTTCATGTTCTTAGACATGTTGGCTTGTTGATAAGACAAGGTATGGTGAAATTGGGTTTAATGTCGCATCCAAGATTATTGCACTTATATAGCGACGTGTGTGTTTTAGTCCGGACGGATGTCGATTTATAGTGCTAGCCCACTGAGATACCATGCCGCAGTGTAACATAAATACCCCTCTCACACTCAGCATACTGACTCTGAGCCGACCAGTCCATTAGCCCCTTAATGCCAAGGGCCAGACAGGGAAACGGCAAGTACAATCTTTTAATGTTTTTCGGTATGACGCAGCCAGGGATTCAACCCCCGACCTTTAACCCCACTCTCCGGGTGGACACTCTACCACGGAGGCAGTCGACGAGACAAGGTTGCAATTAACGAACATGATGAAGGTGGTGAATTCTATTCGTGATGTGGGTCGGTGAGGTAGCCTAGTGGTTAAAGCGTTCACTTGTCACGCCGAGGACACGGGTTCGATTCCTGACACGGGTACAATGTGTGAAGCCCTTTTCTGGTGTCCCCTATCGTGATATTGCTGGAATATTGCTAAAAACTGCATAAAACCATACTGTCTCACTCATTATTCAAGATGTTCATGTTCAGAATAAAATCGGTGAATAGTTTTTATTATCAGTGAAATCGACGGGGTTTATAATAACAGAAACTGCTTGATCGCATCCATATTACTGTAGTTCCTACGATCGTCGTGGGTCCCAGGTAATCACAACTCCAGCACTAGTACTGCGTCACATGAGCAACACAGCTTGTATGTATGAAACCCGTATAACATAGTACATGTAGTACCGGTATGCAACGCTTTATTTATGTTCAACTCAGTTGTGTTCTGTACGTGATGTTTTCCTTTAGAAAACTTATACTCAATAACGTGTGTTTACATCCAGTACTTCCGTTTGAGAAGCAAGCCTCGTTTTAGCTACATGTGTTTACATTCGGTGTTTCCGCTCACGCGCAATAGCAATGTTGTCATTTGCCATGGCGTATGCTTTGTTCAGCAAAGAAAATCCCACCTCCTCCCTCAACACCACCTGTTGTCCATGTTGACAGTCTCAGCCCATACAGTTACAGTGTCGTGTTGTGCTATAGAAGTTTAATTCCGTTAAAGTCCGGGGGAATTTGTCTGATACCCCATCGTTGTTGTTTGTACAACTCATTGTCTTCGCCAATCAGTCTGTACATGCTGCAAAACCACCTCCGTCGTCTAGTGGTAGAGCGTCCGCCCGGAGAGCGGAAGGTCCAGGGTTCGATCCCCGACCGCATCAAACCAAAAGACGTTAAAAGATGGTACTTGTTGTTACCCTGTCTGGCGCTCGGCATTAAGGGGCTAAAACAAGGACTGGTCGGCTCGGAGTCAGTATACTGTGTCTGAGTGGGGTATTCATGTTAAACTACGGCATAGTATCTCAGTGAGCTAGCACTATAAATCAGCATCAGTCCGGACTAGTACAAGCAGCCACACAATCACACACACACGTACATGCACATCGCTATATAAGTGCAATAATCTTGGACGCAAGGTTAAACCCCATTTCACCTCACCTTGTACATGCTGCAACTGTCAGTAGTGACAGGGATTCTCATGATGATTCATAGAAGTACTTAAAACAGATCCAGAAAGTGTCCGGGGTTATTTTTTAAAGCACCATTCATTGTTGTACATGTTTTAATATCCAGTGTTAAATGGCAGTTAAATATCCATAGGCAGTGAAATATCCATAATGTTTCTGGGGATATTTTCCCCCATCATTCATTGGTGTACATATTTATGTGTTAATGGCATGCTGCCAAATACTGTTTCTGATGCTCAGAAGAGTAGGTCATATACTGGAATGTACCCCATGCTGGGGTCAGTAATGACTGACGCTCAGTCAGGCAGCTTCTCATTCCGGTGATGCTTACTCACTGTACATGCAGCACTGTATGCGGGTAGTTGCTCCCAATGCTTGGGCATGTCATTTGTATCTGGTTAACATGGTTAAGGTTGATGCCCAACCACAGGTTTCATTGTTAAAGTTATAGTGGTAGTTAGTATTAACATGAGAATCCCCTAACGCCAAAGAAACTAGTCTTGTATGCATGTGCTATAGTATGTTATTCTAAAAAATAGTTTGTCAGTTATCATGTGTTTGTTAAATTTATTATAAATGTTGGATAAGAATGAACTGAACCTTAAAAAAGCTTGCAATATTGTCAGACACAAGTCAAATTATATTGAATGACATTTTGAAATTAAAAAAACTGTAATTGTGTTACCTGATTTAGGTTATACTGTTTGTAGATCTATTTCAAGCATGACTACAGTAATCCTGGTAATACTAATTGTTTATTGTGCATGTCTCCTTTTTCTCTCGGCACTATTGATTTGTTAACATTTCATCAGAATAGCTTTGAATAAGCTGCCGGAGCATATTGATCACATGGAAAAAGAGACACATATTTGCAATTTATCTTCATGAGCTGCAGTTCCCCTTTTCACAGGATCTGTCAGAGACTGAGTTATCTGCCAGGTCAGCTAATTGTGGTGGTGATGGCCCCGAGCACTGTTTGTCTGGTGTTGCTAGGCCAAGGTAATCTGCCAGGTCAGCTAATTGTGGTGGTGATGGCCCCGAGCACTGTTTGCCTGGTGTCGCTAGGCCAAGGTAATCTGCCAGGTCAGCTAATTGTGGTGGTGATGGCCCCGAGCACTGTTTGCCTGGTGTCGCTAGGCCAAGGTAATCTGCCAGGTCAGCTAATTGTGGTGGTGATGGCCCCGAGCACTGTTTGCCTGGTGTCGCTAGGCCAAGGTAATCTGCCAGGTCAGCTAATTGTGGTGGTGATGGCCCCGAGCACTGTTTGCCTGGTGTCGCTAGGCCAAGGTAATCTGCCAGGTCAGCTAATTGTGGTGGTGATGGCCCCGAGCACTGTTTGCCCGGTGTCGCTAGGCCAAGGTAATCTGCCAGGTCAGCTAATTGTGGTGGTGATGGCCCCGAGCACTGTTTGCCCGGTGTCGCTAGGCCAAGGTAATCTGCCAGGTCAGCTAATTGTGGTGGTGATGGCCCCGAGCACTGTTTGTCTGGTGTCGCTAGGCCAAGGTAATCTGCCAGGTCAGCTAATTGTGGTGGTGATGGCCCCGAGCACTGTCTGCCTGGTGTCGCTAGGCCAAGGTAATCTGCCAGGTCAGCTAATTGTGGTGGTGATGGCCCCGAGCACTGTTTGCCTGGTGTCGCTAGGCCAAGGTAATCTGCCAGGTCAGCTAATTGTGGTGGTGATGGCCCCGAGCACTGTTTGTCTGGTGTCGCTAGGCCAAGGTAATCTGCCAGGTCAGCTAATTGTGGTGGTGATGGCCCCGAGCACTGTTTGCCTGGTGTCGCTAGGCCAAGGTAATCTGCCAGGTCAGCTAATTGTGGTGGTGATGGCCCCGAGCACTGTTTGTCTGGTGTCGCTAGGCCAAGGTAATCTGCCAGGTCAGCTAATTGTGGTGGTGATGGCCCCGAGCACTGTTTGCCTGGTGTCGCTAGGCCAAGGTAATCTGCCAGGTCAGCTAATTGTGGTGGTGATGGCCCCGAGCACTGTTTGCCTGGTGTCGCTAGGCCAAGGCAATCTGCCAGGTCAGCTAATTGTGGTGGTGATGGCCCCGAGCACTGTCTGCCTGGTGTCGCTAGGCCAAGGTAATCTGCCAGGTCAGCTAATTGTGGTGGTGATGGCCCCGAGCACTGTCTGTCTGGTGTCGCTAGGCCAAGGTAATCTGCCAGGTCAGCTAATTGTGGTGGTGATGGCCCCGAGCACTGTTTGCCTGGTGTCGCTAGGCCAAGGTAATCTGCCAGGTCAGCTAATTGTGGTGGTGATGGCCCCGAGCACTGTTTGCCTGGTGTTGCTAGGCCAAGGTAATCTGCCAGGTCAGCTAATTGTGGTGGTGATGGCCCCGAGCACTGTTTGTCTGGTGTCGCTAGGCCAAGGTAATCTGCCAGGTCAGCTAATTGTGGTGGTGATGGCCCCGAGCACTGTCTGCCTGGTGTCGCTAGGCCAAGGTAATCTGCCAGGTCAGCTAATTGTGGTGGTGATGGCCCCGAGCACTGTTTGCCTGGTGTCGCTAGGCCAAGGTAATCTGCCAGGTCAGCTAATTGTGGTGGTGATTGCCCCGAGCACTGTTTGCCTGGTGTCGCTAGGCCAAGGTAATCTGCCAGGTCAGCTAATTGTGGTGGTGATGGCCCCGAGCACTGTTTGTCTGGTGTCGCTAGGCCAAGGTAATCTGCCAGGTCAGCTAATTGTGGTGGTGATGGCCCCGAGCACTGTCTGCCTGGTGTCACAGACTGAGTTATCTGCCAGGTCAGCTAATTGTGGTGGTGATGGCCCCAAGCACTGTTTGTCTGGTGTCGCTAGGCCAAGGTAATCTGCCAGGTCAGCTAATGGTGGTGGTGATGGCCCCGAGCACTGTCTGCCTGGTGTCGCTAGGCCAAGGTAATCTGCCAGGTCAGCTAATTGTGGTGGTGATGGCCCCGAGCACTGTTTGTCTGGTGTCGCTAGGCCAAGGTAATCTGCCAGGTCAGCACATACTGACATAGTGGCTGGTGATGGTTCCCTTGAGCACCTAGTGTATTATAGCTAGGCTAAGGTAATCTGCCAGGTCAACACATACTGACATAGTGGCTGGTGATGGTTCCCTTGAGCACCTAGTGTATTATAGCTAGGCCAAGGTAATCTGCCAGGTCAGCACATACTGACATAGTGGCTGGTGATGGTTCCCTTGAGCACCTAGTGTGTTATAGCTAGGCCAAGGTAATCTGCCAGGTCAGCACATACTGCCATAGTGGCTGGTGATGGTTCCCTTGAGCACCTAGTGTATTATAGCTAGGCCAAGGTAATCTGCCAGGTCAGCACATACTGACATAGTGGCTGGTGATGGTTCCCTTGAGCACCTAGTGTATTATAGCTAGGCCAAGGTAATCTGCCAGGTCAGCACATACTGACATAGTGGCTGGTGATGGTTCCCTTGAGCACCTAGTGTATTATAGCTAGGCTAAGGTAATCTGCCAGGTCAGCACATACTGACATAGTGGCTGGTGATGGTTCCCTTGAGCACCTAGTGTATTATAGCTAGGCTAAGGTAATCTGCCAGGTCAACACATACTGACATAGTGGCTGGTGATGGTTCCCTTGAGCACCTAGTGTATTATAGCTAGGCCAAGGTAATCTGCCAGGTCAGCACATACTGACATAGTGGCTGGTGATGGTTCCCTTGAGCACCTAGTGTATTATAGCTAGGCTAAGGTAATCTGCCAGGTCAGCACATACTGACATAGTGGCTGGTGATGGTTCCCTTGAGCACCTAGTGTATTATAGCTAGGCCAAGGTAATCTGCCAGGTCAGCACATACTGACATAGTGGCTGGTGATGGTTCCCTTGAGCACCTAGTGTATTATAGCTAGGCTAAGGTAATCTGCCAGGTCAGCACATACTGACATAGTGGCTGGTGATGGTTCCCTTGAGCACCTAGTGTATTATAGCTAGGCCAAGGTAATCTGCCAGGTCAGCACATACTGACATAGTGGCTGGTGATGGTTCCCTTGAGCACCTAGTGTATTATAGCTAGGCTAAGGTAATCTGCCAGGTCAGCACATACTGACATAGTGGCTGGTGATGGTTCCCTTGAGCACCTAGTGTATTATAGCCAGGCCAAGGTAATCTGCCAGGTCAGCACATTGTTGTAGTATACCCCAGAGCACTATCATGTGCAAGACTAGGGGGAATGTTCTAGGCCAGCACATTGTTGTAATGTACCCCAGAGCACTATCATGTGCAAGACTAAGGGGAATGTTTTAGGTCAGCACATTGTTGTAATGTACCCCAGAGCACTATCATGTGCAAGACTAAGGGGAATGTTCTAGGTCAGCACATTGTTGTAATGTACCCCAGAGCACTATCATTTTCTTGCTGGACTAAGGGAAATGTGCCAGATCAGCACATTTTGTGGTGGTGCCCCGTGGCATCATACCTGTAACTTCTAGCTCGGCTAATGGTAATGTGCTCGGTCAGCACAATCCTTTGTGGATGCAGTGATCACAGTGCCTTCCGGGGGTCATTGATAAACATAACAGATGTGAGGATGTAACACTCCTGGACTCAATCCACAGGATGCAAGTGAATAGGAGTACCCTGCCATACATTTCTGATGCCCTGCCCAACATTCTCACTTGATCAGGTTCATGCAAACCCTGTCCTCGTTGGAATAGGATTGATTGATTGAAAAATTATGATAAACATGATATACCTTCTCAGTTACACACAGTGTGTTAGTAAATAGATATACAGATGAATTGTTTGGAAAAGTCCAATAATAAATTATTTTTTAGTTTGATGTTTACACGATATACAGATTTTCCATTTGACATGTTTGACGAGAGGTCGATGTATGAAAGACACAATTTGACGTTCATACGTTTTTCACGAGACCATGTCCTTGAAATGACGTAAACACTGACGGACTACTTCCACATTCCTGGGAATTCCCTTGCATGAATACATACAGAAGTGTTGTTTCTGATCATTTAGACACTTTAATCTTAAATGTTTATCGTGTCGGTCATTTTGACGTCTTGTTACTTGTTGTTAATGTATCATGATGGCTGTCATTGTGACTGACTGACTGACTGACTTACTGAGGTAGACATTTCTCATCTAATGAGCATATTATTTGAGTACATGTGTTGTACAGAAACTTCAAAAGTTGTTCCTATAGAGCATATTGAGCATACACATTCATGTCACCTCTCATTTTGAGGAACTATTTTTTCCATGATACAGCTGGTTGTTGTATGGCTGTCAATGTAAACATGAAGTCACACGTACTTAATATTGTGTATAGATCTAGATCCTTTGAGGTACAAAATAGTGATACAAAACATTAAAAGAACTGACTTTCATTTTGTGTGAGTTTATTGGAGTATGAACCTTCACACAGTTTGTCCCTCACTCTATGAAGTCAATTCTTATATAAATTTTTATATCACTATTTTGTACCTCAAAGGATCTAGATCTATACGCAATATTGAGTGAACGTCAATTCCTAATTAATGTATGAAAACAAGCCATCTGATGGTCAACACAGTTGAGAATCCCCAAACTTGTCCACTTCCTCTTTTCAATGAAGAATTGAATGTCTGAAGCACTGACTGGAGAAATATACAGACTGGAACAACAGTTCAAGGCTTTCCCCCTTCCCCTTCCTACTCACCCTCCCTATTTTCCCATCCCTTCCCCCTCCCCCGCCCCTGCCCCTGCCTCAAAATGTCCCTTACCATGTAACTATAGGCCATTATTTATGAAGGTCTTGCCCCCGGCATGACCGGTCCTAGATTTGTGATTATGTATGCCAAACAATTACCATTGTCTGTTACTTCAGTTGGGAACATTGCACGGCCATGTGTATGAGCAACAGGCTGCGTGTAGGGGAGTGTGACCATCGATCTGAACTGTCATTACACACAGAACATGCCACACATGCATGGCTCTGTTCATCATCATTGATGATACTAATAATAGATGGAATAGGTACCGGGATAAGAGTTCATTACTCGTACTGCACTGTCAGCCCAAAGAGGGTTCATACACCTGTGAGATGGAATCCTAGAGGTAATATGTAGCAAGGGTTTGTGGAACATGTCATTGATAGGGATGGGTATTGGAGGTGTAAAGTGTATCACAATATTTTGCGATTCACAAGGCTGTATCGCGATACGTATCACAAACTGTACATCGTCAGTGTGCCAGGTATTTGGCCATCCACAGATGTACCACAGATAAGAGCACATGCAAGAATCTTGATATGTATCGGATTGTAAGCAAGGTATCGTGATGTGTATCGGATTGTAAGCAAGGTATCGTGATACGTATCGTATCTTGAGCAGCCCCAGTTCCAAATATGTATGGACCTTGATTGACTACAGTTTTTTATAAGCAGCATCCCTTTACCATGTTTACCTGTCATGCTGACCCGTGAAGATCCGGGGTAGAATAGGTCTTCAGCAACCCATGTTTGCCGTAAAAGGCGACTATGCTTGTCGTAAGAGGTGACTAATGGGATCGGGTGGTCAGGCTCACTGACTTGGTTGATGCATGTCATCGATCCCAATTGCGTGGATCGATGCTCATGATGTCAATCACTGGATTGTCTGGTCCAGACTCGATTCCTTTACAGACCGCTGTCATGTGGCTGGAATATTGCTGAGTGCATGTTAAAAAACAAACAAACAAAACCTGTCATGCTGGCGGTTTATTTTCAGGCTAATTGCCATATTTTAGAAGTGAGTCGGGTTGGTGACTATGTTCAGTGGTTAGAATACTTCGAGGCAATGGCACATCTCCATAACAGATAAATCAATAGATGGAGCAAAGATACCAATAGATTCCAGAAACATTAAATACCGCTGAAATAGATGCAGATATTGGTGATAGAGTCTGTGAAATATTTCCTGGAACACAAAATGTTGGTAAGTGAAAGTTTCCAGGTCTTGCCTGCTTGACATTGAATGGCAGCCTGTTGTTTCAGCTGATGGCTGTCGCGGACTATTGGCAAGATAATTGCAAGATCTGCCATCATGCTTGTATTGGCCAGTTGCCCTTTGCATAATACAAAGGGCACAGAGTTTCTGTGTTTGAATAGCTCTATAAAACTGACATGTGTGCTGACCTGTTCCAGCAGCCAGTCACACACACCTGCGGGCATTGCACACACTCACTATACAAGTGCAATAATGTTAAGGTTGTGTGTGGAGCGAATGAGACTATAAGTGTCCAACTTCCCAGTCTTACTTTACATCAGGGGGCGGTCGGGTAGCCTAGTGGTTAAAGTGTTCGCTCATCACGCCGAAGACCCGGGTTCGATTCCCGACATGGGTACAATGTGTGAAGCCCCTTTCTGTTGTCCCCCGCCGTGATATTGCTGGAATATTGCTAAAATCAGTGTAAAATCATACTCACTCACTCACTCACTACTTTACATCATAGTGTTCTGGTGAGTATTCTCCTGATTTGGTTTTGATTTCTAAACTGTATCCGTTCTCTTTTGATGAGCCTTTTATTGCACTGATACTGCATGTACCATATTTGCAGTATTTAGCACAATGCCCCAGCATGTCCAATAAATGACCCCTGACCAAATTTTACATCAATCTGTAAGTGCCCTGTACCATGCTGTACTAAGCCTGAAGGTGGCATCGGTGGCCCAGTCATTTAAGGTGCTGTGATTCGCTGTGCAGAGTTGCGTCCCTTGGGCAGGCTCTAGGTTCGAATCCAGGTTCGCCCCAATTATGTTTGTAGGTTTGTCAGCACCATACCCGTGCTCGTGGGTTTCACCGGAGTGGTAAACGTCTGAGACCTACATCACTTCAGGCTTTCCTCCCACATTAAGCTCGATGTTTTTTGTGACAGTTCGTATTTGCTTGTGTGTTTTGCAATTTTTTACAAAGAATGTAGAAGGGGTATGTAATTTCTAAGAAACAATTATATAAAAAAAACGTTCATCAGCGTTTGAACCAAGTTTGTCCTCAACTCCTTTTATAGGGCATTTATTATGGCAAACTATTGTATATCATAATCGTACAATATTAGTTTGCAAAGAGTTACCTGCCCTTAGTGACTCTGGCATTAGCAAATGACCAAATGCTCTCTTTTTTGTATGTTGTGGAGAAAGTAGGAGGATGTCACATGATGTAATTCAACCAATCACATACAGGCAAACAAGGGTATATCCACCATGATAAGTACATGTAGGATTTATCACAACTATAATGTCTGTGTTGAGGTATAAC